GTACCTTAGCACAAGTTGAACTTTCTGACATTTAAATGTATCATGACATGATAAATACGGGCAAAGGTAGAAAACCTAGATGTATATTTCACAAGCATGTTTAAATTTTTCATTGTAAGTCATTTTTTTCTTTTAAGATTTATTCATTTTTATAAGAAAGGCAGATCCACAAAGAGAAAGAGAGAGAGAGAGAGACAGACAGACAGACAAAAAGACCTTCATCTGCTGGTTCACTCCCCAAATGGCCTTAAGGGCTGGAGTTGAGCTGATCTGAAGCCAGGAGCCAGAAGCCTCTTCTGGATCTTCCAAGTGAGTACAGGATTGTCTGATTTCCCAGGTCATAAGCAGAGAGCTGGATGGGAAGTGGAGCAGCAGGGACACAAAGCAGTGCCCGTATGAGATGCTGATGCTTCTAAGCAGAGGATTAACCAATCAGCCATTACCCCAGCCCTCCCTGGGAGACTTGTTTGGGAGTAGAGAGGTATACTGCGTAGCACCTTCACTTCCTGGTGTGCTGGACGCCCTTGTACAGTTCGTGTGTATTTGTTTACATATATGTTGTATTTCGTGCATCGGTTCCTTTGTCAGAGAATCCTTGTGTCTTGGGGACTGACTTCACTGAGCATCATGGCTTCTAGCTGAGAGTGTTGTGTTGTAAATGACAAGGTTTCATTTCTCTGGCTGAGTAGTAATCTATGAGTAAATGTACTACAATTTCCATTTCTGTTGGTGGGCATTTGGGTTGTTTCCTGTTTTGGTGTCTTCGCTATTGTGAATTGTGTTGCTATAAATAGAGGGTTGCAGGTTGCTCTCCGGAATGCAGATTTCATTTCCTTTGGATATAATTCCAGGAGTGGGATGGCTGGTTGATATGGTAGATCAATTTTTGATTGTCTGAGCACTCTCCATACTGACTTTAACATGGTTGTACTCGTTTATATTCCACCAAGTTCGGATCGGGGTCCCCTTTTCCCACATACTTGCCAACAGCTGTTTGCTATGTGTAGGCCATTCTCACTAAAGTTGGGTAGAACCTCATTTTAATTTGCATTTCCCTAATGGCTAGAGTTCCTGAGTGTTTCTTTCATGTGATTGTTAGCCTTTAGAATTCTATCTTTTAGGGTGATATTTGCTCATGTCTATGTTCTTTGCCCATTTCTTTTTTTTTTTTTTTTAAGATTTATTTTTATTGGAGAGTCAGATACACAGTAGTACAGAAAGATCCATCTGCTGGTTCAGTTCCCAAGAGGCCACAGTGGCCAGATCTCCCACACAAGTGCAGGGTCCCAAGTCTTTAAGCCATTCTCTACTGTTTCCCAGGCCATTGGCAGGGAGCTGGATGGGACACGGAGCAGCCAGGACATCAAGTGCCACCCTTATGGGACCCTGGGCACATAAGGCAAGGGTTTAGCCACTAGGCTACTACACCGGATCCATCCATTTCCTAACAGGGTCATTTGTCTTGCTGCTGTTGAGTTTCTGGAGCTCTGTAAATTCTGGATATTAGTTCCCTAGAATGGGATTTTCTCTCATTCTTTCTTAAATGTTAGTCATTGGTTGAGTGCAGGTTGAACTCATCCTTATTTTAAAAAAAATTAACCAAATACCTTTGCATTCTATATATTTAAAAACGCAATACAACTTTAAAAAAGTTCTGTAGATAGAAAATTGTAGGGGAGGTTAGGCTCCATTTGATTGTGTCAGCAACATTTAGGCAGCATTACAGCAAATCAGTTAGCTGAATCATTTATGTCTTTGGAAAGGCAGAGATACAGAGAGAGAGAGGTTTTCATCTGCTGGTTCACTCACCAGATGGCCTCAATGGCTGGAGCTGGGTTGATTTGGAGCCTGGCTCCAGGAGCTGCATCCAGGGCTCCAGCTGGGTGTAAGGAGCCCATGGACTTGAACCATTCTCCACTGCTTTCCCAGGTCGTGAGAAATGAAATCGTCTGGACTTGAACTGATGTCCGTTAGGGTTGCTGGTGCCACAGGCAGAGGTCAGCCTGCTATACCATGGCATCAAGCCCCAAGGTACAGATTAAGTAGACCAGTATAGTTTCTGCTCACAACATTGTTTCCGCCCCATCTTCCTGACTTGACTTGTATTTACTTCAGAGAAAAAAAATGTTAAAACTTTCTTTGGGTACTTTCAGTGGTACTGCATGCTAAGCTACTAAACTATGCAGGGACACATCTACAGATTCTGATTCAACCCAGACTTCTACAAGTCATCAGTACTTCTACAAGTTTCCAGGTGTTAACATGGGAAATTTGTGACATAAACAACCTGATGATTGATGTACAGGAGCTAGATTACTATGTACAGGAACTATGTTCCTGGCTCAGGCCATCTCACTTACAGAGCAAAATAGCCAGTTCTCTATGAACCCTTAAAACCTGTTTTATAGGACAATGCACGGTAGCATTGTGGCTAAAATACTCCCCTTGCATGCCCAGGATCCCATATGGGGACCAGTTTGTGTCCTGGTGGCCCTGCTTCCCATCCAGCATCCTGTTTGTAGGCTGGAAAAGCAGTCGAGGATGGCCCAAAGCCGTGGGACCCTGCACCCAGTGGGACCAAGGAAAAGCTCCTGGTTTCAGATTGGCTCAGATCCAGCCATTCAGGCCACTTGGGGAGTGAACCATCAGACAGAAGATGTTCCTCTCTGTCTCTCCTCCTCTCTGTATATCTGACTTTGCAATCAAACTAAAATAAATCTTAAAAAATAGTTTTATAAATCTCCTGGCCCATATCTTAGCACTTGTATGTCACATTGCGAAATAAGAACTCACCACATCTTACTCTAATACTAGCATAGGAATACATGTGTATAACCTACACTAAATGTACAGGTGATCTTTTGTAACATCCACTAAATGGAGAACCTATTGAGTCTGTTACTGTACCTTATATTGATGCAAAAATCATGTAGGCATCCTTACAGAAAATAACTCAACCTGAAAAATGTATAAGTAAAATGGCAAGGTGGAATAAGTAATAAGGGACTTTGTTATGTCACATGAGTGATTTTTTTTTTTGATGCACAGTACCATGTACATTAAAGATGGTTTGCTTAATACTTAAATGTGAGCCAAGCAAGAGACTCAATGCCTATATGAAAAAATTAAGTTACACATGATAAAAGTGCACCCATTCAATAGGATGTTCTGAACTATTCCTCTACTACTAAAGAACATTAGAATCAACTGCAGTACATTTTCCAAAATATGATACCCAGTGACCACAGATGTAAGTTCAAATAGACTGACACTGGGCCTGGGCAATTCAAAAAGTCTAACCTCAGGCAACTCCAATCCTGAAGTCTAGATGAGAAAGCCAGGAACATGAAAGGCTGTATGCTTGTGGCTGGTTTATTTATTTATTCTCAGTGTGTCTTGTTATCTCATCTGTAAAAATGAAGATAACAATACTTATTCTGGTAATATTATAGGACTTTGAAGTAAAGACAAAATCACTTGAAACAGTTTTCATCATGAGAATTTTTGTCATCATACAAAACATTTTTTTTTCTAGTCATACCCAGCTGTTAGGTAGGCAGGCAGGCAGGCAGGCAGGCATGTTATGGGGTAATCTTTAGTTTACAAAGCTAAGTGCCAGGGTAGACTCAAGGTCTGCCATAATATCAAGGTTCAAACTCAGGTGACAGAAAAATTTGACCTGTATGGTACAAGCCATCATTAGTTGTCTGTGTATGGATTTTACTATACATGATTTTTTTTAAAGATTTATTATTTTTTTATTGGAAAGGCGGATATACAGAGAGGAGAGACAGAGAGGAAGATCTTCCATTCGATGATTCATTCCCCAAGTGAGCCACAACGGCCGATGCTATGCCGATCCAAAGCCAGGAGACTGTTCCAGGTCTCCCACGCGGGTGCAGGGTCCCAAAGCTTTGGGCCGTCCTGGACTGATTTCCCAGGCCACAGGCAGGGAGCTGGAAGGGAAGCAGGGCTGCCGGGATTGAACCGGCGCCCATATGGGATCCCGGGCGTGCAAGGCGAGGACCTTAACCACTTGCGCCACTGCGCCGGGCCCTATACATGATATTTTTAAATGTATTTTATTTGAAAGAGCAATAGAAGGAGAGATCTTCCATCCTCTGGTTCCTGCCCCAAATGGCTGCAACAGCTGTAGTTGAGCCAGTCCGAAACAAGAGCCAGGAAGTTTCCTCTGGGCATCCCACAAGGGTACAAAGGCCCAAGGACTTTCCCAGGCCACAAGCAGGGAGCTGGAATGCAAGTGGAGCAGACAGGAATAGAGCCCACACCCATAGGGGATGTTGGCACTACAGTGTTAGCCTGTTGAGCCCACATACTGGCCCACATTCATGTTTTGGCTTTCAAAGATGTTTGTATTTGAAAGGAAAGTTAGCGGGAGAAACACAGATCTCTCTTCTGACTCGCTAGAAGCCTAGAATTCCATCTGGGTCTCCCATCCTGCACTGCCTTCCCAGGCATACAGGGAGCTGGGTCAGGAATGGAGCAGCTGGTATTCCAACCAGTACCAATATGTCGCCAGAGTTGCCTTGACCCCATACCCCACAACAGTGGCCCAATCATAATTTTTAGTGCTCTTTTAATCTTGGTAAATATTCCATTTTTTCTCTTATTTGTCCACCCAACTTTCATAAGGAGGAAGGGTATGAGAATATTGAAAATCTGTAGTGAGTGTGACTTTGTTTTCCCTCAGAATTTCCCTCACTGATGATGTAACTTTAGTTTTCATAACAAGTTAGCCCTCTGTCCCCTTACTCTCCACCCAGCCTTCTGGAATGGGAAGAAGCAAAGACAGACCTGTGTAGTAATACTTCGTTTGTTTATTTGAAAAGCTGAGCGAAAGCTCAAGTATTGGTTGGTTCAAGCTGGGAGCCTGTGGCTCCAATCACATTTTCCCTGTGGATGGCACAGCCTTAGGCTTCCTGTAGTGCACGTTAGCAGCCGCGAGCCTTGGAAGCAGAGCTGGGGCTCCAGCCGAGGAACTAGGGGGCCTCAGCCATGCACCCGACAGCTGTTCCAGAAGGAGAGGCTTCAGCAGGATAACTGACAGCATGTTGTCCCACTCATTTTTATTTGGTTAAATTGTAAATAAATACAAGAGAACTGTCATGAAACCACTGGCAATACAGTAAACTTCAAAGAATTTATTTCAACTCATATTTCTTAGAATGAGAATATATACAATAATCAATATATGCTTAATGCTTTAAATGTACAATTGCTGAAACTTGAGTTATTTGTTAAATGGGAAAAAGTTCTAAAAATTTTCTTTTCTTAAAAATCAAAATATTTTTACAGCAGCCAAAACCTTAAGCCAAAAACCCAAAAGTTTAAGTCCTGTTTAAGTGCAACAAAAATGGTCACAACTATCTTGATGATTAACAACAAAACATAGGAGCTTTTAAAAACAGGACAGATCAGTAACTGGTCCAGTTTTTCCTTCCAGGTATGTAAAGTTTTGCCATTGATAATCGTGTTTCATCTTTTCAAACACAGAGCTTGTTCCAAGTTGAAAGAGCAGTTTATATGAAGTTCTAGTATTTTAACATTAGTGATGCTTGCTGAGATGTAAGAACTCTCAAAAAGAATCAAAATAAGCCATAATTAAATAATCCCAAAGGACATACTAAACAGTGCAACCTGATACTCAACATCAATAGTGTTTTTCAATTACATTTCTTTTCACAAACATAGCACCTCGTCAAATATCTGGTAAACACTTTTCAATTACAGTAAGGATAAAGGGAACAAGTTCCAAAGACAATTATGTGATTCACTTAGGACAGTATTGCAAGACACATCTCAGGCACAGTCAGGATTAGGAATGCTATGTGTTGGTTCTCGTGTGCCAAGGTGACACTCGTGCCACCCGCATCGTCTCCTGACAGGATGCTGTGTGTCCAGTACCAACAAAAACCGCCCAACCCTACACTGGGCTCCCGTGTCACAAGTGATCTGTTGAATGGAAAACTGATCTCCCTTTCCCCTCCCCTCCAAAAACACCACACTTCCAAAACTTTGAGAGATGTCATCATTCCAGGTAATGGTGTTAAAAAGATACTAAATGAAGTCTGATGCTTTTGTGTAAAAATTAACGTACTGAAATCCAGAGTGGTTACAGCTTTTACATACATTTAGCAAAAACACTTTACTCACTTGGGTGAGTTTTTACAAGCTGTATTCTTGACCGGAAGAATCGCTTTTTTTCTGCCGAGGAGAGGGCGTGGTCTTTGTGGGGGATGGGGACGCCGTACCTGGTGAGTCCGTTCCTCCGTCGGAGGTGCTGGGGGAGGACGCCAGATGGGGCACTTTCTTCTTGCCGAGGAACCCTCCCCCTTCAAATCCTCCTTTCTTCCTGAACTCCACTTTGTTTTCATTTTCATCTTCTGAGGCCCTTTTCTTGGATTCTGAACAGCCTTCAGCTACTTTATGTGTTTCCAATCCACTATCCAATTCTCTCAAGCTTTTTGCTTCTGTCCCAGGAGACTTTCTCTCGGCTATGCTGCATTCCCCTGCTGCCCCCTTCACTTCAGCTTGCACTGGAGCCAAGTTGCCATTTTCAGGAAGAGCTCTGTCTACATTTCTGTTCAGACTGATGGTCTGGAAGTCCCTGTAGCTGTGAAAGCTCTCAGTCCTCCGCGCCCTTGCCAGCAAGGGACTCTCCCGATAGGGCCTGATGGAGCCGTAGGTAGCTGCTTCGTGGATGGTTTCATGGTGTTGAAGCTGGAGGCTGAAATGCAGAGTTTTAAATTATAATTCAGCTTTCATGATACAATTTTCCAAGAGCATCTTATTAACATAAACAAAGCACTGTAAGTTCATTTCTCTATAGAATTTTACTTATCAAGTGTATGTATCAGTGTACATCAAAGTTAATGGGAAATAGAACTGTGGTGTAGCAATTTTTGAAATCCAATCATAATTTTTTCATATTATGCATTTCCATGAACTGTGAAGACCTCATGTATATTAAATCAGCAAAGCAAATAAATACAGTGCTTTTAATCAAACGTGAAGAGGTTGGAAAAGAGATGAAACCATCCTTAAAACAGGGAGTGAATATGATTCAGTATTTGGCTCCTGGCTCCTTAGATTTAAGAATCTGTCAATATTGTAATTAAAACCACATACTAGATCACTGTTATACAAGCATTTAATGCCTAAATATGACTAGCCATGATCATGCAATGACAGGAACACTGGCAAGGAGCAAGAGCTCCACATGTTAAGGTGACATGTGATTTCCTGAGTATTCACTGAATTCTGGGACACATAAGTAGGCATCCACAAAGCACAGGAATGCTTTACTATGGGAAGAACATTAGCATGGAGCCTGAGTTTAAGGGGGGGAAAAAACCCAGAAAAATGCAGAATGATTATGTTAGTCACTTCCTTAAAAGCAGTTGATTGAACTTACGATATGCCAGCCTCCCATGTGACTTACCTCGAATTGGATTCCCGCAGGCGGCTGTGCTGGACCACGGAGGTTGCTGGGCTGATGTTTGGGGTGGCACAGCGAGAAGTGCTGAGATCACACTGGTCCAGCAGCCTGAGCAGCTCCTCTTCCGTTGGACCACCTACATCTTGGGAAAGCACACACTCACTTAATGACTTGTACCAAAAGCTTACCGGGTGACCAATATCACTCCATGAGGAAACCTACCCTTATCTTCGCTTTTGCTAACCATATCCATAGCGGTGGTCAGATCCCACATCTGAATGCTACCGTTCGTGTGGCCTGTGAACAGGTAGCGCCGTGGCCTGGAGCCCATCCTACTGGATCCTTCACATTCTCTCACTGTAAATGCGGATATTGTAGTACAGTCAACAGCCTGGATTTCACATATTCTGCAAAAGATATTGCGTAGTTATAACTGGGGGATGAGATACCATTATCTCAAAATTACAGTTTTATCAGTATAAAAAGTTGTATCTTTCATTTATAATAGACAACTTTTTCAAGGCATGAGCTATTTCATTGTTTATCACAACAGACAAAAGCAAATACTGTCGATACTGATGAGGAACATGATGAATGCCAGTAAATGACATTTCCAGATCTGATTTATGCCAGGCTACTTCAGAGCAGAGCATAAAGATAAAAAAATTTTTAGCAAGGCAAATGCTAGGTTCAGAAAACGGAAGAGGAAGAGTAAACATAATGTACCAAATGTGAGAAGCAAGTGAAGCTTGGCTGAGTGTGACTGATGCTGTTGCACAGTGGGTTAAGCAGTCCTCTGTGCTGCCAGCATCCCACACGAGCTCGAGTTTAAGGCCCGGCTGCTCTGCTTCATATCCGCTCCCTGGGAAAGCAGTGACAGATGGCCCAAATAGTTGGTACCCGGCTATGCCCATAGGAGACCTGGATGAAGTTCCAGACCTAGCTTCAGCCTAGACCAACCTTGGCTGTTGCAGCCATTTGGAGAGTGAATCAGCAGGTGGAAGGTCTAATCTGCCTTTCAAGTAAAATTTAAAAACCAAAACAGAACAGCAGGGCTTTCTAGGAAGCAGGGCAAAAGGGCAGGGTGTAGCTGGGAAAGTGTGAGTTCCTGTAGGCCCAGATACATGTGGGTTCCAAAAAATTATAGAACAGAAAACTCATATTCTAATTTATATTTTTCTGTAGCCCTAAAAAAATGTACTTATTTGAAAGACGGAGGGAAAGGCACACCAAGGCCTTCCGTTCACTGGTTCCCTCCTCAAATGCCCACAGGACTGTGCCTGACTGAAGGCAGGAGGCAGACTCCACCCAAGGCTCCTACAGGAGTAGCAGGAATTCAAGTCCTCCCAGGCATGTGGTTACGGAAAGCAGATCAGAGCAGTGCAGCAGCCCTCACTTGAAACAGGCAGTCGCAAGTGTTGGCTTTACCTGCTGTGTGACAATGCCCACCCACTGAAACACTGCAGATTAGTGATATGGGGCTTCACAGCTTCATTTCTGATCCAGGGAAAATCCTTCAGTATGTCACATGGAGTTCTAAACAGCTTGGGTAGATATTACCAGATTGAGCTTCCTTCTGTTTTTTAAACTGTGTTGAATTTTTCCAAATTTTTTGCTAATGAAATCATTTTATCTTTTCTCAGTGAATTACATTTATTTCCAGTATTTATAAATTAAAATGCTTCTAACACCTAGGTTTTGTTTTTGTGTTTAAAATCTACATTTGTATGTAGAGGAAAGAATGCAATTTTGTTCCTTTTTTTCCCCAGGCCATTTTCAATATACTCCTTATATTTCATTTCTCACTGTTAAAATCCTAAACTGTTTCTCAACCAAAAGCTTTAATTCAAAGTACATTCATAAAGAATTGACTTTATGAAGAGAGTTCTGCTTGTTATTTTTACAGCTATACTTCGTCCTCCAGAACAGTCAATGTCAAAACTATAAACCTTGTCTTAGCATGCAGAAATCCTATTTGAAATAGAAACTGAAATATTAAACACTGATAGAGGACGTGAGGATACGATCTCTTATTTCTAAGTTTTAATGAATAAACAGTCAGCTTGTTCACTTTTCACAGCAATGAGATCGCAGAAATTTATGGAATTTCTTGCCATTAAAAATGTGATCTCTTCATTATGTACTCCTTATAGAATTTCTTTTGAAAATGTCAGATGTTAGTGTCCACTAAAACCATTCTGAGTTTATTGATCTGAGGGCTTATTCACTGAAATATTAAATAAGGAGCCATATCACAAGACAGTGATTTTAGAAACATAACTAACATTAAAATGGATACCAGTAATCTTAGTGATTATAAACATGTTACTTTTTCACTTATTTATCATTAAAAAGCCTTTCAGCTTTAACATTCTGCCCTTTAAAAACAATCCATTTTGGATTATAATTCAAAGTGAAAATGTAGGAACTTATAATGACAAACTGTGCAAGACACTGTGATATTGTTAACTACAATCTGTGAATACAGTTAAACTTCATAAGGTAACTAACTACTATTGCAGAAAACAAAAACTGGATTTATATGGGAAGGATCTACATAAGAAATTTGCATAGGAAATCACTTCTGAAGACAAGCAAGAGATACTGCCACAACCGGAGACAAAGGGTGGCGTTCAGTGTAGCAAAGAACACATACATTAAAAGAGAGGATTCTTTATTGCCATGGAGATAATTTATCTTATTAAAGTTAGAGGGAAAAATGGTCAAATACAAAAGGAAGCATGGGTATTTTATTGTAAGCTGTAAGGATAATGCAAATTAGTTATTTATCAACCTATAATTAGTTTATCATCCTTATTTTAAAGTATATGTAACCAAATAGAGATATATGTAATATTTCTATGTAAGAGTTAGGAAATTGGGCCCAGCACGATGGCACAGTGGTTAAGGTCCTTGCCTTGCATGCCCAGGATCCCATATGGGCACCGGGATCCCAATCCCGGCAGCCCTGCTTCCCATCCAGCTCCCTGCCTGTGGCCCGGGAAGGCAGTCCAGGACAGCCCAAAGCTTTGGGAACCTGCACCCGCGTGGGAGACCCAGAAGAGGCTCCTGGCTTCGGATCGGCATAGCATCGGCCGTTGCGCTCACTTGGGGAGTGAATCATCAGACAGAAGATCTTCCTCTCTGTGTCTCCTTTCCACAGTATCAACATATTTCTTACATAGGCCTAGAGAATATACATTATGTATATCATAATTTAACATTACAATTTAAAATTAACAGGTAACGGATTACTTACTCAAGTTGTTTCTGATAGCACATGTGTATGAGTAATTGTGTCGTAAGTTTTGCAAGATCAAAGTGATCTCTGAATATACTGTTACCTTTTCCCAGTCGATGAGAGTCTCACAAACAGTTTGTTGGTGATAGGAACAACTTTCTGGATGAACACCTGTTGATCATCTCGCTCTCCAAAGGGGCCTTGGTCAGCAAACAGAAAATATCAAGAGAGGCTAATTAAATTCTTTTACAAAAATCATGTGGAACATTCTCATGCCTATTGACATGGCATTGCATTTCAGGTCACAGTCAGTCATAATATGTAATGGTTACTGTTAGACATTTTCAAAATTACACTTTATGCACTAACTGCACTACATAGATACTAAAGCAAATGCCAGGTTGTTTATAGTCTTCTAGCTTAAAGGAAACGCATTATTTTGAATCTTTCATTATCTAGAATTCTTCAAATTTTTTTAATTGGTTATATTGTATTATGAGATACAGTTTCATGGCTACTAGGATTCTCCCCACCTTCCCCCCTGGTGGACTCCTCCACCCTGTTATGAGACCTCAGCTCAAGATCAGTTGATACACCTTCACTGCAAGCATATATCAAGCATAGAGTCCAGCATCTTAGTCTCCAGGTAAGTTCCTCTGCTTCTTGAGGAGACCTTCCCTGGTCCGGAGGCGGGGCCAAAAAGAGCATGATCCCGTTCAATTAGAAGCCCCAGCAACAACAATATATATCGTTATTGAATTAATTTACACAGCACTGAGTAAACAATATGTTGAAATTACATGTAGATTGTTAAGAACCTCCTGTGACTAGTTCAATGGCATTTTAATAATTGAGGTGTATAACTGGTTTGGGGGGAGCTGCAGAGAAATCTCTCAAACTTTGGTGATAAGTACTTGTTCTTTGTGCTCTAACTAACAGGGTATGTGTGAGTCTTTGATGACCTATCTTTCTTTATTGTTCTCTGCTTCAAATTTTTGAAGGCATGAATTTTTAATACTTCCTATAGAGTAACTGGGTTAGCACAGTAAGAAAAAATATCAGTTGCCTAAAGACCAACCTATTTAGTATGAAATCTGAGACTGAACTGTATCTTACAGTGGTTTCAGACTTCATTATTATCTTTAATGGGCCATTCACATGCCCTCCCAGGAATAATAAGTTTTAGAAAGATTGTGATTATTATAAAGTGTTATGCAAAACCTAACAGCACATATTTTAGTAATTTTTTACATTATGTAATATAATTCCTATTCATAAGTATATGATGTTCACCAAAAGTTTTAGAAAATGTACATGCCAAGCTGTCTTAGTGACTGACATGCTAGTCTAAGTAGCTGTACTTCCACTTCTCACAGCCACCTTCCAGACCAGTGTCATCTGGGTTTCACCCGTGCTACCCTGATAACCCTGAACGCTATTCCCTCTCACAGGCCGACCGCTTGGGATAGTTTTTTTTTTTACAACAGTACTATCAGAAGGAAACAAATCCTCCTTTCATTCCAAACCCTCGGGTTTGGAAATAATCTGGTACTTGCACATGCGTGTATTAACTCACCTTTTGCTGAAATCAGGAAATCAATGGCGACATGGTGCTACTGGATATTTCAATTTCAACTAAATTACTAATTATATAAGAACATTAATTCTCCATCATTTAGCTTCTAATTTTTAGTGTGTTAAATGCACTAAACATGTTGTGAATGAGTTTCAAATAAAGCTAATAATGTTTTAAATTCACTGTGGCATTTCTACAGAACTGTCTATGTGATGCTTGTACCTATGTCGTTTCCGGAGGAGTAGCTCCCGTGGCTCTCCGTCTCCTCCAGAGACAGTATCTTGAAGGATGCCAAGGGAGTCGAGCCTGGCTGAGTGGAGATCATCCCTCGGAACCGCGTCACCGTCCATGTCCGGACATGGTTGTTATCTGCGCAGACTGCGGGGGACAGAACACCGGGCAACTGCTCAGTGTGATGTGGTTGTGCCTTGTTTATATTTATCAACATTTCACTGTAAGCTACACGAACACATCCTGCAAGCACTTCAGATGCTGGAATGTCTGATACTGGATATTGGTACAGATTCTATAGGTTGAGCATTCTTTGCCCCCAAATCTGACATGTTCCAAAGACTGAAACTTTGAAATTTAATTTTCTTCTGTTTGGGAACTTTATTCTCAAGATTGATTACATCAACTGAATAAGATATATACCTTATGTTTCTAATTAGCTATATCTATAGATCCTTATAAAAATAGCTGGCACGGAATAACCTTTAAAAGAAAATGTTTTTTTTTTTAAAAAACAGTAAGCTGAGATTCATTCTTGGGCATGGGGGAGTGTGATGCTACTCCAGAGCGACAGTTTAAATCCCAGCAAAGTTCTGCCGCTGATCTAGCTCCCCATACCAGGCACCGCAGGGAAAGACAGCTGAAATACTGAGACAGCTAGAAGCTGCTCGGGCCTTCTGGGCAGGCTGACCCTAGCGCAGCCACTGGAGCCATTTGGAGAGTCAACCAGCAAGCAGTTTTTACAGTTAGGGGAAAAGTCTTCTATTTATGATATTCAATTATTAAACAACCTGGATCAGCAGTAATGGTATCAATTAGTAAAATGAACTAGGAATTTTATGGAAAATTAAAATTGTACAGTAAAGATGATAATTATCCTCATGTAAGTTTGCATATAAGAAACACGCTCCAAAAAGTTGATTTTTTTTTAAGGTGAACAACAGGAGGTAGGTATATCCACCAACCTCTTTGTCCTGGTTTTTTGCCTGAATATGTGGTTCAATTAGAAAACGTACATGAATAAATGATATCACTAAATCAAGTCTTAGTATGCCTTTAAAAACATTAATTTGCTCATTAAGTTTTCTGAAATAATACAGCTATGAATTTGTCAATAAATATTAACTAAAATCTAGATTATACATGTAACTGATACTTTTTATTCAGTAGAAAATACATCTTTAAAATAACTTTTCAAATGTAACTTCAGAAGTAAGTACCATCTATATGCTTTTGATTTTTGTGTAATAAAATTGTTACTTTTAAAATGAGGGTTGTTTGATCTGTTTCATAGTAATTTACTAAAATACAGAAAGATTTTTGTTTGTATTAGTTATCTATGGCATTAAAAAACATTACAGGAAAAATATTATATGCTCATTTATATTGATCTCCACCAGGTGGCAGAATAACTTAACTGAGAGTAGATAATAGTTCCAATTTTTGGTTACACAGGACATTTTTCTTGGCATCATATGTAGTGATTAATGTTGTATTTGCTTACAGCATCAAATTGTTTTATGGCCAGAAAGTATGCTAAATATTGAGAATATAGTGGCAAAGATTTGCTACCATAGAATTTACACTCTTATTTCTACAACAAAGTGATAGAATTATCACTGAATCACTTATATTTCTGTTTATCCATGAAGACAACACATGGATTATTAACAGGGCAGTAGGATCCACTGCCACTAGCAAGTATCCAGAGGCAAAACATTTCAAATGAAAACAGCAAACCTCCTAAGGGATTTTTAAGAAACAAAAGCTGGGCCCGGCATGATAGTGTAGTGGTTAAAGTCCTTGCCTTGCACATGCCGGGATCTCACATGATCGCCAGTTCTAATCCCGGCGGCTCCACTTCCCATCCAGCTCCCTGCTTGTGGCCTGGGAATGCAGTCAAGCATGGCCCAAAGCCTTGGGACCCTGCAACCCTGTGAGAGACCTGGAGGAAGTTCCAGGCTCCTGGCTCTGGATTGGTTCTGCTCCAGCCATTTGCAGCTGCTTGGGGAGTGAACCATCGGTTGGAAAAAATCTTCCTCTCTGTCTCTCCTCCTCTCTGTATATCCACCTTTCCAATAAAAGTAAATGAATCTAAAAAAAAAAAGAAAAGCCAACAGACTGAAGTGTTATAAGCAGTAACAAAGGTGGTATGGGGGAGTTGGGAAAAGATTTAAAAGTTGAAATCCAGGAGACCATGGCAGAAATTCCTTCTACACACAGTGAAAAGTCACTGGCAATCCTATCTGCTTTATGACTATAAAATGTTTCCAACTGCTCTGCAAAACTCCTACCATTTAGAAGCAAAATAATCATGGGAAGAGTTAAGAAACTACTACAGTAACAGGGAGGAGAAATTACAAATGTTGTACTATGAAGATGCTCTGATTTGGGCATTAAAACCACAAGTCTATGCATAGCTTTTTCATCTTGCACACTTTTCATGACCTTCTAAAAGTACTCTGATTGGGCAGGCAGCAGTGATCACACCTGAGACATGGCAGCTAAGCTCAAAAGCCTGCTCGATCACCTATATGCGGGAGGTAAAATAAAGGGAGGGACAAGGGTCACTCCAAGACAGCCAGTGTGGATAAGTGATCTGTGGACTAAGATGGTTCTCGAGCTCTCAAACACAGCATAGAGAACAGACGCCGGATAGACAAGCTGGGACCTCTCTGGTTGGCCAGAAGGACAAAATCTGCGAGTCATTGGCATACTATTCCAGTCAGCACAGAGAGGACAGACAACACGACGGTGTAGGAAGAGCTCCACTGACACTCAACCACAGCACATTCACTCAGCCGTAGGAGGGGACTGCGGCTTCACCGACAGCAACGCGAGGTGCACACCTTTTGGGCAGTCTTCACACAAATAAGCTCAACATAGGAAAAGTTATGAAAAACCTCAGGTTGGACGGGAACTGTTCTACAAGAGAGTTCAGATGCTTCTAAAAAGCTCTACAGATAACACCTGACTCAATTTTCATAAGCCTTTAAAAAATCATTTAAAAATGCACATTCAATGCATTTTCATAAGATTTTTCTTTGCAATCAGAAATACTCATTACACTTGACAATTATCATGACTATTAGAGAACTATAAATACAAAATTTTTCAAATATGAAAATACGCCAAATTAGATGTCTACAAGATGATCAAATATCAAAATATCTACAACTTTAGCATTACATCTTTAAGACAACCAGATTTTACACTAAAATTCAAACAAGCACATTTTTTCTAATTTCTCAATGGGTTTATAAAAATATGTCGTAACAAATTATTAGAAAATAAAAGATATGATACACTCTAAATTTTAGATATCATACAACCAGGAAAAATCAAATCTTTAAAAATATAATTGGGGCCAGGGTTGTGGCATAACAGATTAAGCCACCACCTGCACAGTCTGCATGTGAGCTGGCTCAAGACTTAGCTGCTCCATTCTTGGTCCCACCCCCTGCTGATATACCTGGGAAAGCAGTGGAAGGTGACCCGTTGCTGGACCCCTGCATCCATGCGGGAGACCGGGACAAAGTCCCAGGCTCCAGCCAGCCTAGCTAGTGCAGCCATTTGGAGAGTGAACCCGTAGACAGAAGATTGACAACTGTTTCTCCCTTTAATTCTGGCTCTCAATTAATAAATCTTATTTTTAAGATAATCATTTATTATTTTTTAAAGATGTATTTATTTTTATTGGAAAGTCAGACTGACAAAGATATTCTGTCCACTTCCCAAGGGGCCACAAAGGCCGCAGCCCAACCGAGGCCAGGAGCTTGTTCCTTGCAGGTGCAGGGTCCCAAGGCTTTGGGCCATCCTCAACTGCTTTCCCAGGCCACAAGCAGAGAGCTGGATGGAAAGTGGAGCAGCCAGGGCATGAAGCGGCGCCACAGGGGATCCAGGCACATGTGAGGTGAGGATTTAGCCACTGAGCCATCACACCACCGCACCTTCAACTAATAAATCTTTTTTAAAAAGCATTATCAGAATTTCTTTGATTATTAAACTTTCCTACCACTTTTAGTTTGTATTTTTTGCTTACCTGAAACACTGCTATTTTACTCTTTTAATTTTCAGAAATATAAACACACACAGGACAGGTGGAACTCTCCCAGGATTACCAGTCACATTACCTGACACCAGATGCTTCTCTGACAGCATGATCTTTGTAACTGGACTGCGGTGCACCGTGAAGGTCTGGAAAAGCTGAGGCCCTGAGCCGACCGTCTCCGGGTGCTGGACGATCACACGCACCGCTCCAGAGCTCGTACCATAGGCGATCTCAATCCAGTTCCCACTGACACCTGCACGAGGTCACATGTCAGGAGGTGACAGAAGCTGCCTTCACACAGCCTCGGCGCTCTTTCAGCCCCAGAGCCAGCTGAAGCACGCAATCTTGCAGCTTCTCTGAGCAACCCTTTTCTAGCCCTCACTCCCAAATTAGGACTGCTCGCCTTCCGCCGCGCACGGCCGTAAGCGCCTATTCCATGTTCATCTGCATGTCTGTCAGCCACCTGAGAGACCGCCTCACACAGAATGGACTTGCTGGCTGTTTGAACAGTAAAGCTCCTGTAGCAAGCAAAGCAGTCACACAACAGTATTCCTTTGGTCATATTCCGCAGTACTTCCAGACTACACCATCACCTGCCTTACTTCCTGAAACAGTTACCCCACCACCCACGCCTCCTACAGGGAAGGCCTGGGTGCAGACCTCAGCCTGGCTCGGCCCTTGCTGCTGCAGGCATTTGGAGAGCAAGCCAACGATGAAAGATCGCACTGCCTCCGTTTTTGTCTGTCAGCTCCCTTTTAAGTTAGTATTTTAAGAAATCGTACAAAACAGTTCCTATCACACAAAATAGTCTTTGCTTTTTGATTTCTAAAATTTCCCAATATTATTTCCATTTTTAAATCAGATTACAAAAATAAGTCCATACCTCACTCCAGAGCAGGGGTCAGCACACTTTATACAAAGAAGTAGAGAATACACACTCAAAACTGCATTACATGTTGTCTATCAGAACCTCACTACCGGCTCTAAAGCAAAAAAGCAGCCAAAGATGTTTTACAAAATTAAAACAAAAAATCTGGCTAGGCCAGCAATCCATGGTTTGCCAACCCTTGTTCTAGAGCCAGACAGATAAAATATTGTGTAACTTAAGCTCGTCCACATACACCATGTAGTTCACCCTGTTGTGAGTGCTTTGCTTGATAGGGCAGCTTTACTCTTCAAACAGCCAACGAGTCCATTCTGGGGGAGACGGTCTACTAGGCGGCAGACAGACATGATGTCCTCTAATAAATTCAAAAAGCAGACACATTCAATCTGTTAGTACTAGTGGACGGAAGCTAATACTTTTTAGAATTCTTTCTACTGCAGCAGGTGTCGAGCTGGCCGAGCGGTCTAAGGCGCCTGACTCAAGAATCCTTTCTACTGCAGACAAATTATAAATTTCCCATTTATGTTTTTTACTCTAGAATACAAATACTCTTAAGTATTTTACACAAACTGTTCTGTCAATTTTACAGCAGTGGCCTCTGAAAGGCAATCACAATCATATTAAGTTTTCTAGTCACATGTTTTTCCTCCAACTTTAAAAATGTCCAGGGAAATAAGCATATTTTCCAGTGCAGAATAGTTTTTATTTCTTTTTGTGAAAAAAAAAAATTAAAAGCTTCTAATATCCCACCTAAATTTTGCCTATTTTCCGGATTTAGGAAAAAGCCAAATGTAAATTTTAGGCTAATGATGAAATCTTTGACACTGCAGCTCCCGCAAAGGGCTGGATCAGTTCACTGAGTCACGTAAGATGCTAACACACACAAACGCATTCTTACACACATCAGAAATCTATCGGAGAAGCACTGACTTGTTTTGGGTGTGAGGTATACACTGAGAGCCGTAATGGCATCGTTTGAAGGATCGTGATACAATTCAGTCACAAGAAGGTCATTGTCCTTCATCCGCAAAGGGAACTTCTGCATATCTGAAGAAAAAAATTTCACATGTAAATAGCATTAAAAGTGTACATCTGTTTTTACAGTCATATCAAGTGGCATATTAAGTGTCTGTAAACTTACCAATGTAATATATTGATCCATTGTTACATCCCAGGAGAAGGAATGACCCAGCAGTGTCATAACTAGTTATAGGAACAACATCTTGAACCTGATATGAAATTATTAAAGGTTAGAAAATAGCTGGAGTTTATGTTTTCTGCTCAACTGTGACAACATTTTCAGTCTTAGGATACAAAGGCAACCAACACTGAATGTTATTTAGCCACATACACACTCAAGCACAGGGCATCGGTTCGGTTCCTTTTTGAAACGCTTACATGAGATTTGCCACCACAGCACTTTCCTTTCAGAAGTTGGAGGGATATTTCCTTTTCCTGTTCATGCCCTCTAGGTGCCACTCAAGGATCCAGGAATGACTATGCCCTCATGGTTGGAGGGGAAGAGAGCAAAGCCCAAGGAGGGGCTCAGAGAGGAGGTGGGGAAGGGGAAAGGCAGGGGCCCACAAAGCCGGCACGGGTGTATCAAACTGGCATCCATCCTAAAGAAAAATGAGGATTGGTTCAAACTTGAAAATAACAACTTGTCTAAGCAGTTCATGTACCTGTTCCTAATAGCATGTATGATTATGAGTCTTAGAAACCTCTCTGGAGAAAAGCCCAATTATTACAATCTAAACCCAATTTAGGCTTCTGACTACACCAGAAGAACACTGAGAGCTTTTCAATGATACCAGTAAAGATATTTAAAGAATGCAGACAGTTTTATACCTCGCTGGCCCATTTTCACGCCCTAGTTAACTGGAACTTTCTTACCCCCAGCACTGTCACAGATACACTTAGGGCAGTGTTCAGGGCTTCAGAGACGTAAAAGCCCTTCCTTTCCCCAGCACTCACTGGGACCAGGATTCCAACAGCGGCTTTATTCCTATTCCTACCTATGGAGGCTTATAAATTCATCACCAGACGCAACAGAAAAATGAAAAAGAGGTCTTGCTTTTGACAGCAGTCCTACAGATCCCTGACAACAGGAAAGAAGAGAAGTTAAGTCAAGTAAGTCTCAACAATTCTTTCCAAGAGAGCCAGGCAGATCATACAAACTCCCTGTGAATCCCTGGCTCCCAAAACCTGTATTTTCTCCTCAAATTCAGTTTCTACTGTTCATGTAGAAGCTAGGTACAAACTGAGTAATACTGCCTGTCTCTAGTCCCCAGAATTGAGAGAATTCTCCAACGCTTCAGGAAAAAAGTGCATAATGACTTTATAGAACTTCCAAATGTCTCTTTTTTTCATGATACAGTTCCTTAAGCTCAGGGATTTTCCCTACCATGAGCACCATTTTCCCCTTTCCCTACTGTATTTCCCTCTATTATTATAATAGTATAGACCTTTAGCAACAGTCACAAAGTCCATCATTTTGCTATTTAAGTATATCACTGCCTTGCAGGTATAGACAATGGTGGAAAGTCCAGCATCCTATTGTCAGGAGTTGGGAGTCCATCTTTTATTCAGGAGTAGAAACGCACACTGTACTGTATCTTCATTTCTTGATATGTTAGTCTCTTTTTCCATGAGAATGGAAAGAATAACATCTAGTTTCCAAAACAAGTCTGCATGTAAACTTCAACCACTTGAGAAATCATGCCCATAAGCTGCCAGGAACCTAGGCCCAGAATACCTATTTGACAACACAAATTCTTTCCTTATTATTAATTTCTCTGAAAACATAATTTGGTGTGTTGGAAGACTAAAGAAGAAAAGAACAAACTGAAAATTTTAATATTTTCTCTTACCTAAGCCAGACACAGTACTTTAATAAACTGCATATTTTATGGAAGCTGATCTGAGAAAATCCTATACCGAAAAAATTCACACTGGCTTTTGAGCTTACACACACACACACACACACACACACACACACACACACTGCACTCTGTTTAGTGGTCCACGTATCTCCCATCAATCTTGCTGATATAAACAGAGTGAAATATACCAGGGCTGTCTTGTCTGTGTTACTTATGCACAGAAGGGTTGCTAAATGCCAAATCGGAACCTACTCCAGTGCTACTGCCACGATCCTAGGCGGCAGCCTCCGGTCACAGCTGTCGATGGAGATCTGCAGAGCGGGTGCTGAGGCCTCAGCATGATCATCTCTGCACTGTTCTGCAAGGGAATTCATCTTAACTAGGATATTGGGCTTACTTGATGCACCAATGCTCAACTTTCTTGGAATGCGCAACAAACCTGCTCTGTCAGAGTTTTCAAATCATGCACATAGCAAGCAGGAAGGATCAGGTTACACCTGATCTTAGCCAAGAGGCCAGGAAGTGATAAGAAGCATCAGGTTACGTAGGAAACTAACAGTGAAAGACTAACTACTCACCTGGAAAACTAAACCGTTAGAAATGGTATTATCCTTTATAAAATTATCACAAGCAAAAGACTCCTTCTACTCAATTTCCTCTACATACACTTAGACACACCTACATTCCTTGGCCCATTATTTTTATACTGACAACCACTGTAATGCCTTTTGCCGTACCTCTGTGAAAGGCCCCTCATAATGCTATTTTTTCCTTCATAAGCATGACTTCAGTATCTTCATCATAAATAAACCTGACCTTCCCAGACTGTAATTCCTTTCATTGAAAGTTGTTTATTCTCACAAGATTTCCCAGTATCAAAATCACAAGATCTCAAGATTGCTTCCAGTAAACCCAAGTCAGTCATGTCATGCAGTCATCTATCAGATGTCTGCCCTGCTGTCACTTCCGGATCAACTTCTCCCCTCCGCTGAGGCTCTGGGCACTTGGATCAGTTTACTTTTATCACAATTCCTATTACTCTCCTGGCATCAAGACATCCATATTGATGCCCCTCTAGACCCCCTTTCATCATTAAAAGACCTCAACAGGTGATACAATCTGGATTTACTATTGAAAACTCCTGCAGCTCTAAACCCTAAAACAAAATGTCTGGCTACAACTGCTGCTTTTTCCAACAATTCTTATTCCACATGAAGTCATCAACTGCCTTTCATCTTCCTCAAGCACTTTCCTACTACTGCTTCTTGATCTTATGGTTTCAGTTCTCTTAACCTTACCAACCATGGACCTGGGTTTGTCATAACCATCTTATTAAAGTTCCAATCCTGAAATAGGCCAAAAAAAAGCTCTCACTCTGGTCCCTAGTCACTGAGTACTAACTGAGACAGTCAAGTTACTGTATGCTCCAGGTCCTCTGCAACTGGACCATACTTAATCCCTGAAATCCATGTTACTTTCTTTCCACGTCTTATTTCATCTATCCTCAGAGCCCTTCTGAGGGAGACAAGGAAGTGTCTCTACTCTTTTGGATGGAACTCTTTAGTTGCACTGCAAATCCCACCGCTCCTGACTTCTGTGAGACCAGACCTCATTTCTGTTCTTCCTATCTCCAGGTGATTTCATACGCCAAAATCTTCCTCCCCAACACAAAAAATAAGATAAAGCCCTGAGCATGCTTTTTTCTTTTCTATTGACATTTAAGGCAGCATTTTTGTTCTCTTTATCAGCAAATTTGTCAAAACATAACTCTGAACTTGTGGTGTCCAATACTCTGATCTTGTAATCATCAATTCCTAAAACATAACTTCCCCCACCACAAACTGACATATACATATTCAAATGATATTTTAATGCCAAATTCATACAATTCCTCAGACATACCATAGAAAGTCTTTGGGTTCTTGGTTTTCTACTCTGCCCCTTAAATAGTAAATACTAATGTCCCTCAGAGCTTTTGCTTGGGCTTTGCTTTCCTTCTAAATTCTATCTCAGCTGAAAATTCTAACCAATTATCACATAAGTTTTATGGATTACTTGTTTCCAGCCATTTTGCCTCTAAGTTCCCAGAGTTCTCCCAACTTTATATGAGAACCTGCAGTTGGATGACTAAGAGACCAGCAAAGTAAACATTTTTTAGTCAACTTATTCTTCACCCTACTCATCACTTTATCTGCTTCTCCTCCGCTCTGTCATTCACAATATCATCAGTCAGTCGGCCATCAAAGCAAAAACATCCCTCTTTTTTTGTCCGTCAGGTATCAGTCCATCATTTTAAGAGGTCTACAAAATGTGTTTCAAATAAACTGACCTTTGCCGTCTCAGCCATCACTGCCAATCATGAAAGCTCTTTCGTTTTTGTTGAATTATTGCAGTGCAGGCCCCCAGCCCCCAGTCCACCTTCATCTTAGATGGGGTGACTTTTCCCAAACATGGATCTGATTAGGTCACTCTCCATTAAATGCTCTTAATTTTCATCCTTCCTTCAGAATCCTTATTTCTTCTTTCTCTGAAGAACTTGTAAGCGTTTAGCTTGCTACCTTCTCTGAAGGGTTCACATATGTTCACACACATCATGATTCCATACAGGACAGAAAATGTTCCTGAACTGCTGTGCCCAAGGCATGAAATCTAAGCATCCTAACAAAGTGAAGAATGCCGAACAATAGTAACTTAAATTTCTGGAAAACACAGTCTAGGAGACAGTGTACTACTAAATACATGCAATATTCCATATAACCAAACCAAAACCTCTGTTCTGTAGGAGTCGCAGATGCTTACTTAGCGCAAGCTGCACACCGACTCTGACCTGGCTTCACATGCTTTAATTAAAACTAACCTGCCAGTGCTGAGTGACAGCATTCCACACTCCCACTTTCCCCGTGTGACTTGTGGCCACCAGCTGGTTCCCAATGAAGAAGAGTGCGTCCACAGGAACACCAAGGCTGAACACTCCTTACATGACAACAAAAAGCAAAGAGGTTAATTAATCAGTGACCATCCTCTGACATAATCAAAACCTGCTTCAGATGCATCTTAAGTGTGACTAATTTAAAACTATCCTCATTGCCACAAATTATATACTAGACATTTTGCAGAGCAGAAAGTGCTAAGTTCTTAAGCAGCTTATAGACCAAGGCAGGGAAGCATCTGTCCCAAGCACATTCACACCAATATAATCCCCTGTGATGCAAAGCCACAGCTCAGTTCCAGTCTATCATCAGGATAAGCTGGCAGCTTCAGAGTGAACAACAGGGACCAGCATTGTGGTGTGACACAGTAAGCCAAGCCACCTCCCGCACTGCTGGCGTCCCAAGGGGGACGTTCAAATCCCAGCTGCTCCTCTTCCTTGGGCCTAAGAAAGCAGGGAGGGACAGTCCAAGTGCTTGGGTTAGAGAAATCTATCTCCTGGTTTGTTGTAGTCATCTGGGGAGTGAGCCAGCAGACAGAAGACCTCTTCTCCCACCCCTCCCATTCTGTAGCTCTGCTTCCCAACCGGCACCCCCCTCCGAACAGTGGCCCCACTAAATCTGAAACACAACTGCATTTTCATAAATCCACAAGAAATTTACATGTCATATTAGTCATAAACCATTAATCTAAAGACAGATCTGGCAATGTCAACTATCTAGGATGTGTCTAAAAATCTCCAAATAAATAAAAGGGAAAACAAAGAAATCAGATTATACTCAAACATTCAAGCCTTTTTACTCAGGGCTTTATTTTAAACTCCCTACTTTCCAGCTTTACAATCTCAATTAATTCAAAAGGCACTATAATTAGCATCCAACTTAAAAAGTGTGAGAAAACAGTGTGTAACTAGGAACTTAATTTAGTACCAAAAATTACAAACTACTAATTATATAATGCAAAAATAACAGGGCAGTGGGGGAGGTGGTTAAGAGGCATTTGAGAACGTATCCTGGGCTTGATATTCAAAGTTGAACAAATTGGAGCACTGGGAGAGGGCAAGCCCGGGGAACCTGAGCGAAGGGAAGAGGGCTAGGTGAGGGAAGCTACAAACTCCCTTAGTAACAGCACAAGATCCAAGAACTGCCAAGCAGAAAACTCCATTCATCTCTCGCTCTGGCATGCAGAGCCCCACACAGCTGTCTCTAGCCATGCAATCAGGAGATAAAGACACGGTCCAAACTAAATGTGTCAACAATCGTTTTCACCTTCAATGTGTTGCAACTTCACTATTTAAATATTGTATCAATAAATTGAAAAACACCAATGGCAAATGGCCTATGTTTTCTAATAATACTGAGGAAACAACTCTTACCTATAAAATGCTATCTTAGATTTTTAGGTAATTCTATTTCAAGTATAAGATCTGCTGTTTTTGTTATTGCAACCGTGCTGATCAAAAGTTACAATTTAGCTGAGAAAAACAAAAATGCATGAGGCATTCTAAGTACCTATTTTGGGAGAGTGGTTGGGGACGGGGGGAAGAATTAAATGCCACTGCAACTAAGAGCAACTAGAGCGTGCTTAAATGCTTAAGCCACAGAAGCTTCTGGACTTCTTCTGACTCTCATTCTGAATGTCCTAGCAGGGCAAAGCTTTCTGTTCTGAAGTGCTCTATGTGTACAGCCTCAGTTACACAATGCCCCCTGAAACATTCTTCACCAGTCTTGAGAAAGCCAGGCATCTAGCAAAAAGAAAAATATGCATACTGGACCCAAATTTTAAAAATCACAAAAACCAAAAGACTGGCAAATATTATTAGAAATGTCTTCTACTTATTTGCATATGTAACTATGTATAGAAACATGAGCAAATTTTCTCAGCCCAAACTGTCAACCAGAGTGCAACAGCAAAAAAAAAAAAGTACAAAAAGTACAAAAAGCTAAGCCCTTTGTGTAAGATTAAGATATAAACTTGCCATTTGAAAGCAGAAACTTATCTCATGTTGCATACAATGTTAAGCTTTCTTACATATTAGCACTTTTATTTTGACACCAAATAATTTTTCAGAGCATATGAAGTGAACGATTTGAAGTACTAGAGGCAACATGAAAAGCAGAAACCACAAGAAGGGGGGTCTGGGAAAGGCAGGCAGACATTCTAGAAGCTCCTGCCTGCCCTCCACAGGGAAGACATGTCGGAAGTAATGATAAGATCCGGCCTTACAGGGCCTGCTCAGCAGCCTGTCACAGCCGCAGCCCAGAAGCACCGTCACATATGATACACACAGGAGGGGAGCTTCACCCCGGGAGAGGGCCATCATGTCCACACCAGCTCTAGCAATTTTCTCTGGATGGTGTTGTCAAACTCTGAAGAATATTTGTAGCCACAAATGGCCTCTTTTCAGGCCAAGGACAAATTACTACGGTACCATTTCATAACATTGCTACCTGCCAGATTAGTTTTTGAAAACAAGGCAAAAAATAAAATCTCTTTCACTTTCTGGCAGGTCACAAGTAACAACTAGAAAGGAGGAAAATAGGCCCGGCGCGACAGACTAGCCACTAAAGTCCTTGCCTTGAATGCGCCAGGATCCCACATGGGTGCAGATTCTAATCCCGGCAGCCCCGCTTCCATCCAGCTCCCTGCTTGTGGCCTGGGAAAGCAGTTGAGGACGGCCCAAAGCCATGAGATCCTGAGCCTACGTGGGAGATCAGAAGAAGCTCCAGGCTCCTGGCTTCAGATGACCTCAGCTCTGGCTGTTGCAGCCACTTGGGGAGTGAATCATTGGATGGAAGATCTTCCTCTCTGTCTCTCCTCCTCTCTGTATATCTGATTTTGCAATAAAAATAAATAAATCTTTTTTTAAAACCCTCAAAGCCAATTTCCTTTCTGGATAATTACCGTGTCATATAATTTCAAAAAAATTTAATGTCACCAAAAAAATAATTTAATGTCACAAAAATTTCCTTAATATTAGGAGGTCTTTTGCTGCCAACCGTAATGGAATAAGTGGTATTAATTTACTTTTCCAGTTGAAAACTACAAACTGGATAAAATACAAACGGCAACTCCTATAAGGCACAGCAGAGCAGCCAGCAGAGGACTTGAAAGATGGAAAACACACAAGTCCCACACCTGCTCTAGTGTTCTGCTTTAGGATATATCACACCTGCTCTAGTGTTCTGCTTAAGGATACATCACACCTGCTCTAGTGTTCTGCTTTAGGATACATCACACCTGCTCTTGTGTTCTGCTTAAGGATACATCACAGCACAGAGGCGCAAGATGGTTTCCCTAAAGGGAGCAGGAGATGAATTTGCAGACTTGGTGGGTAAGGCATAAGGAGGAGTTGGGAATGTGCCAGGGTGATGATGGCAGTGGTGGAGTTGCATGAAGAGTTCTCCAAGGCCTTAAATAAAGACCCACCTGTAACTGGGTGGGGTGAGAAAACCCAAGAGACACAAGTAGGCGGGCAGTTATTACAGTAGAATTCTCACTGAACAGTTCAAGAGGTTACCTACCCAACAAAGCATTAAAACAAGTCTAACAGAATCAAGATGACCCTCTAGTAAATTTTTGCCAGAAGAGAAATTATCAAAAAGAAAGGCAACATGATCCACACCATCTAAACAATGTATCATGCAAATACCTGAAATCTGTCAAAACCCTCCAGGAGGAGGTGCAGACATAGCATTTAACACATCTTAGGATAACTGGGGGCTAGCTCACGCACGCAGGCAGGCACACACACACACACACCACAAACACACCTAATTGCATCTTGATTCTGTTTCCAATTCCAGCTTCCTGTTTTTATGCCCTGGAGACAACAGGTGATGGCTCAAGTGCCTGAATCCGTAGCCCCTACATGGAGACACAGATCAAGTCCAGGCTACTGGCTTAGTCCTGCCTAGTCTCAGCTGTTGCAAGCATCTGAGTGAACCAGAAAATGGGAGATCTTTCTGTCTGCCCCTGCCTCTGCCTCTGCATTAAAAATAAAATGAAAAAAAAAAAAATTCCCTGAACACATGAAGCAATAAAATATGACCTAAAATAAATGACTTAGATACTAGAAGACAAAATATTTTGTAACAGTTATTACAAATATGCCTGATATTTTTAATATTTATTTTTACTGGAGAGGCATATTTACAGAGTAGGAGAGAGAGAAAAATATCTTCTGTCCACTGGTTCACTCCTCAAGTGGCCGCAATGGACAGAGCTGAGGAAATCTGAAGCCAGGAGCCAGGAGCTTTTGCGTCTCCCACGTAGGCTCAGGGTCCCATGGCTCTGGGCCTTTCTCTCTTGCTTTCCTAGGCCACAAGCAGGAAGCTGGATGGGAAGTGAAGCAGCCAGGACACAAACCAGTGCCCATATAAGATCCCGGTGGATGCAAGGTGAAGATTTGGCCACTGAGCCATTTGGCCCTGCCTGATTTTTTTAAGAGATTTATTTAGTTTTGTTTTAAAGGTAGAGTCACACAGAGTAGGAAAGCCAGAGGGAAGGGATCTTCTCTCTGCTGGTTCACTCTCTGGATGGCTGCAACAGCCGGAACAGAGCTGATTCAAAGCAAGGAGCTTCTTTCGGGTCTCCTATGTGGATACAGAGGCCCAAGGACCTGTGCTATCCTCACTGCTTTCCCAGTCAATAAGCAGACAGCTAGATGAGAAATGGAGCAGCCGGAATATGAATCAATGGCCATGTGGGACGTCGGTGATTTCTGGTAGAGGACTGGCCTATGCCAACCCCATAAATATGCCTGATTTAATAAAGTATGCATAATGATTTTATAAAGTATGCATAAAAAGAAATCTCAGCAGAGAAACATCAATTATAAAATCGAATCAAAGTCCATTTCAGAGTTGAAAAGTCCAACATTTCACATAAAATTCACTAGATGGACTGAATGTTTCCCAAAAAGGGTAAAAAGTAATTAAAAACCGAGCAATGAAACTTAAGATGAAGAACAGAGAAAAAGAAGCTAGAAAACAGTGCACCAGTGAGCTAAGGAAATAGTGTTGGAGGAAGGCAGGAGAAAGAGCAGAGGGAATTAGGGCGACAGTGAGGATGCTCCCAGGCTCAGCTGTCCCTCAATTCCATTTGTTACAAAATTCAGTTACTATTCCATTGTTTGTTATCCTGCAATACGCTTGTTACTATTTTTAAATTGGAGGGGCTAGCATTGTGGCATTGCTGATAAAGCCATACCTACAATGCTGGCACCCCAAATGGGTACCAATTCCCGTCTTGGCTATTCTACTTCAGACCCAGCTCCCTGCTGATGCACCAGAGAGAAGCAGCAGAACACGGTCCAAGTGCTTGGGCTGTTGCACCCATGTGGGTGTCCTGGAAGGAGCTGCTAGCTCTGCTTGGACCTGGCCCAACCCAGCCTTTGCAGCCATCTGGGGGGTGAGCCAGTAGGTTGAGGCAGGATTTCTCTCTATCTCTCCCCTACTCTGTCACTTTGACATTCACATAAATGAATCTTTAAATAAAAACCTACACACAGACTCGAACTGAAGAAATGTTTGAAATCATTAAGGGGTCAAAAATCTTGAAAATTCCTGGTCCAGAAAGCCACAACTAGAAGCGTTAATTACACCCTTCAAAGCCCAGTGCTCAAGAAAGGAAAAGAAAAAGCAGTCCCCCAGAGGGACTTCAGGAAGAACACCACTTCCCATTGCAGCCAGGGCAGAGCTAGAGCAAACTACTAGAAAGATGATGCCCTCTTTCTAAAAGCCTCGATCTCTTCCCCCTTTGACAGCTCACTCCTCTCACACTGAGTAGCCCTATTATTCCTGGGCGCTGGAAAGAACGTGTAATGGCTTGAGCTTACAGACCTGGCCCGTTTTCACATGTAGGATCATACATTCTGAAACTTCGAAATGTTTTCTAGTAAGTCAAATGCAATGGGAACAACTCTTCCTACCAATCTCACTTCCACTCCCGCCGTCCTGGACACTCCACAGGATGATGCTGCTCTCCGAGGCAACAGCGACCATTTTGTCCTTGTCTCCATGTGGGCCTCCAACCACTTTCGCATTCAAAGCCACTCGTTCAATAGTCCAATCTAAATATGGGCTTGTAAACACTTGTTGCCATCCTGAAGATTCTTTGATTCTATTAAGAAAAAACAGACACATAAAGAGGACTTGGCAGCAACAAAGTGAACACGACACAATTGACTATAATCCCACTCAGCCACCCGGCAAATGCCATTCACCTTTACATATATATGTATGCTTTTTAAATTTTGTTGACTTATGAAGTCAGACTATGATCCCTGACATAATACATTATTATATATATGGCAAATAATAACTTAAAAACATAACATGGTTCTATTTCTCAAAAAAAAAAGAAATCATTCAAGAAAGTCTCTAAAATTATTTTTAAAACTTAAACATGGTTGTATTTTTTGTATTTCTTCATATAGAAACAGCCCTGGTACCGGAGTAGTGGCTTTTCCTGCAGTGCCAGCATCCCATACAGGTGCCAGTTCACCTCCCTGCTGTTCCATTTCCAATCCAGCTCCCTGTCTCTGGTGTGGGAAAGCTGAGAAGTCAGTCTTTGGGCCCTAGCATCCACATGGAAGACTGAGAAGAAGCTCCTGACTCCTGGCTTTGGATCAGCTGGGCCCTGGCTGCTGCAGCTTATGGAGGAGTGAACCAATGGATGGCATCTCTCTCCCTGCCTGCATCCTTCTTTCTGTAAATCTGCCTCTCAGAAGGAAAGGGAAAAAAAAAAAAAACACAACAAAAAAACAAACAAAAAAACGGTGGAAGGGAGGGAAGGGAAGAGCGCTGTGGTCATTTTCTATGGGTAGGAAAAGTGAATAACAGTATTGCAGAGTTATTTTTAGTTGTCAGTCTTTCATGTATTAGAATCAATGGAAGCCATATGCACTGAACCTACTTGTATCGCAGCTGGCTATGTGGCTTTCAGGCAACCTCTCCACAGGCATGCCAACACCTACTAAGAGCCATAGGAATAAAGCGTGGCACCTGAAAGCCTTGGTCTAAGGGCTAGTTTCTAAGGTCCACACCCAACACTGAATGAACTCATTGATGCCCCAGTACAAAAGCTAACATTTCTGTATATTTAATTTTGTTGATTAGCATGGTCTAATATAATGTCAATTTTTAGTAGTTATTTCTGCTTAATTAAGTCTCTCAGCATGGTTGCACACATTTAGAACATAAACAACTTTTCAATCACAATGAGTTAAACTATGAAAAACATATTTTTAAAGTTACACTCAACAAGACAAACAAAATTACAAAGCTTCTTTTTGTTCTGTGTAACCAGAATAAATAAAAGATGGAGGTGAAAAGCGCTCTCTTACATATTACTTGACATGCTCATTATAAAAATCAAACTTAGCTATCCATAAATAATGGTCACCAACAAACCTGAATAAAACCAGTTCCACTTTTATTTAAATACAACTATAATTCATAGAAAAAAAAACCTACATAATTCTACCCTCTTTGCAGAATTACTGATTTCCTCCAAAGCAATACTGAGGAAAACATATTTGCATTTCTTAAATATTGTACCAAACTGAACTACCAGATGGGAGCCAGGTGTTGAATCAAAATGTGGAAGTAACAAGCTGGAACTTGGTGAAGAGTGAAAAGTGAAATGTCGTTGTGTTTAAGGACTGCGATCCTGGGCACAAAGCAAGGATGGTCAGTCCTTCAGGAACCATAACAATATACCACTTGGCTGCCATGGACGCATGACAGGTTCGAAGCCGTAGTCAATGAAGAGAACCTGAACTTAGTGAAATGAATCCTGCGATCTTCTAGTCATTCATTTGGGAACAAGCAAACTATACTTAATCTCATCTTTGCCAATGAGCATGTGGCTATGTTGTTTTTTCTCTGCAATAACGAGGGTCTGATAGATCCAGAAAAGGGTAAAGAATCAGTGACTGTGTAACAACTGCAAGATTTATTATGAATAAGTTCTGTGAATTTACCTGTTTTAAAAATTAAGAGAGGTATGTCTGCTATGTTTCCATAAAATATAAAATTAAAACTATGTAAAAAAAAAAAAAAAACAAGCTGAGAGTTTGGCACTTTGTCTTTTTACTATAGTTTAGCAAAGTAATACTTGATGCAAGACAAGTAAACAGTTCTTTTTCACACTGAGACCTCAAAGAAATTCCACAGGAGAGGGCTGGGGCTGTCCCATATGGGTCCCAGCTGCTCCTCTTCCAGTCTAGCTCCCTGCTAATGGGCCTGCCAACGAAGCAGAGGACAGTTGAAGATGTTGGGCTCCTGCATTCACAAGGGAAAACTGGAAGAAGCTCCTAACTTTGGCCTAGCCCCAGCCCAGACCACTGCAGGCATGTGGGCAGTTGACCAGCAGATGGGAGGGTGACCTCTCTGTCTCTCCTTCTCTCTAACTCTGCCTTTCACATTAAAAAAAAAAAATTCCGTAAGATGAAGAACATAAAAGTCCAAAAACAGTTATACACAGCAACATTAAGGAGGTTGTAGAATGCAGTGAGAAATAATCATTTTCACAGTAAGTGACCAGGACACAATTAGCTGCCCATGTGGAAGAACATAAGAAAATAAATCCTCAAATCTCACAACATACGCTCTAAAGTAGATCCCAAATAAAGTTCTAAAGTGAAATTTAAACTCCAAAAGGGTAGCTAGTACCATGCAGGGCAAAACAAATCAGACAGCTCTCCCAGACAAGCACTTGGGTGAATCAAAACTCTAAGGTGGACTATGTCAGCCAATGGATCTTAGAGCAATGGAATCAACACCGCCTCAGAACTATGGAAACCACTTAAGCAGTATCCTCAGAACATGCTGCACATCAGGGACCCTGGGATGACATCAGGTGGCCTTCCCTAGGTTCTGATGGGATGGGTTGCTGAGAGCGGCCCTCTACCCTTCTTTCTGCACCTCCCCAGACCCAGGAAGAAAAAAGGAGACTTGGGGCAATTGTCTCATTCATTTCCCCCCATTCCTTGATCCTCCCCATCCTAATCGGTGGTCCTTGTGGGCACACATCCCTCTCAACTATGTAAACATCGTCAAAAGTAAAATGAATGCATTATTATTAAAAAAACATTGTCACCACACTTCATTGTTATCTTGTAGTTTCTAAATTAGCAACACAAAATTATTGTGTAAATATCACACATATAAAGTACACCACCCCACAGCCACCCAGTTCCACTATTCTAGCCCCAAGGGAATGGTAGATGCTACCAACACGAGTGCTCTCCTTTCCCAGACAGAACAACCTACAGAGATAGGAAATCAGGGCACGCATTAGTTATTCTGCCTGAAGTAAGACAGCAGGTAAATGACTCAGAGGCTAGACACAAGAAGGAGTAACATTTGAACATCTCAGTGACAATATGTTATCACGCAATCTGAGGCAAAGACGACATTAAGACCCCAGCAACATTATCAAATTAACTGTGAAAACAAAAGCAACCAAATGTCAACCAGGGAACACAGAAACAGGTAAAGTATGTAGGGGGAAATTTTTACGACATAAAGAAGCTGCTGTTCAATCTAAAAACATAATCAGAATTATTAAAAGCAATCCTTTAAGTGAACAGCAAATCATTAATTACTTCCTACCTGTAACACACAGCAAAATGGGCATATGCGGCTACAATCCAGTTATGATGGCCAGCTACTATTAGCACCTTCCGAGGATCCACAGGAAATCCTGTTGATTTGAAAAACAGAAATACTGTCCATTCTAGAACAGAGGTTGACAAATTATGGCCCACGGGCCAATTCCAGCCTTCCATGTGTTTTGGTTAACAAGTTTTGTATGTTGTTCAGTATGTTTTTCACAGTCCAACAGCAAAGCTGAACAGTTCTGAGGGACTGACATACTTACTAACAAAAGAAGTCTATCGGTTCTGCTACAGATCAAGAGCAGAGGAACTCAAAACAGTTAAAAATGACATGTCAAATAAGACTTTGGCTATAAATGGCAAAACTGATTTTAAAAAGATAGTAGGCAAAAGATCTTTTTACAAATAATTACTCCACGTCCTCTGGAGGTAAAAACACAAGTATTTTTCTTTTCCTATCTATGCCAACTTTGCTCACCTAGCCTCACAGCCTCTTCCCCAGTTCCAGGGAGAGCGGGCTGTGTGCCGTTTCCCCGGGCTTCCCCATCTGTGGAGTTTAGTCCATTCCTAGAATCAGCAGAGGATCTGCCTGCGTTGTTTATTTTACGGGTAGGAATACCTGCAAAAAAAATTTATACAAAAGGAAGAAGATTAATTTATTTCTAAGTTCATCTTTAAAAAGTAGAAATACTAAATTTTAAGAAGCAATTATTACAGATAAAATGTAAGTACCAATATAGCAACTTATTGCACATAATTTAAGTTAAAACAAAAAACTAATTCAACAAATTTGGTATTTATCATTTTATTTATAAGATTATGTTTTATCTCATTAAGCTCCTTTTTACACATAGCTCTAGAATTGACTGAATTAACTAATTCAGTCTGTCAACATTTTTTTCTTTTTCAAGATTCATTCTTTTTGGAAAGGTAGATTCAGAGAGGAGAGACAAACAAAAAGATCGTCCATCCACTGGTTTACTCCCCAAGTGATCACAAAGGCCAGAACTGAGCCGATCTTAAGACATGAGCCAGGAGCGTCTTCCAGATCTTCCACATAGGTGCAGGGTCCCAAGGCTTTAGGCCATTCTCTACTACTTTCCCAGGCCACATGCAGGGAGCTGGATGGGAAGTAGAGCAGCCGGGGCATGAACAGGCCCCTTATGGGATCTTGGCGCTTGCAAAGCAAGGATTTAGCCTCTGAGCCATCAGTCAGGCCCTGTCAATAAGTTTTTACATTCATGGTATATTTATTATGTGTTAGGTAAAATGTACTAATGAAACTGTTATAAAAAGAAAATTTTCACTGTCTTCCGAACATCTTTTATTTAGCAGTGGAGTTATTTTAAAAATGAAACCTTGGGGCTGACACCATTGCCTGGCAAGTTAATTCTGCACCTGCAGCCCTAGCACCCACACCTAACTGCTCCACTTCCGATGCAGCTCATTCCTGACAACCTGGGAGAGCAGCGGAGGATGCCCCAACTCCTGGAGCCTCTGCACCCATGTGGGAGACCTGGGAGAAGCTCCAGTCATTTGGCTCCAGACCAGCCCAGCTCCAGCCACTGCCGCCATTAGGGGAGTGCACCAGTGGACCGAATAGCCTGCTCTCTGGAGCTTTTTCTCCTTCTTTGTAATCCTCTCTCAAATAAAAATAAATAAATCACTTGGGGGGAAAAAAAAGAAAGAAACCCTGTTTAGAAACCCACTCCAGCACAGGAAAAGGCAGCACTGGTTTGATAACCCAGGAGGCACAGGGGGACACTGGCTTCCTGCAGAGCCCCTGGGTTCTACCACAGAGGCCCCACACTCAGAGCCATAACGCAGGGGTCAGCCGGCCATGCGCCATGGATGATCCAGCACAGTTATTGTTCACTGAAACAAAGTCATCAGGGACACAGGGATGCCCATTCACTCACGTCAAAGTACAGGACAGAGCTGAGGAGCTGCCATGCCAACTGCTGGCTATCTGGTTTCCCACAGGAAAGGTTTGTCAAATCCCCCCTCTACTGTACAGTTTCACTTAATTCTCATAAAACCTAAAATCCCCCACTTTTCTCATAAACTCAAACAGGAAACTCAATAATGTAGGGATGGTTTTTCCTGTTTGCAGGTTTTGGCTAACTGGAAATGTTTTCTAAGTAAAGCGAAGCCTAATTACCTGGTGGAGGCAGGTAACCATGAAACAGGACACTGCCGCAAGAAGAGCGCTCCAATTCTTCACACAAGAGAAGCCTTCTTACTGAAAACATTTCAAAGCAAACTTGTCAAGAACACACGCAAACAGAAAAGCAGTGCTCTAGTTAAAAAAGAATAAGGAAAGACGAGGAAAATGTTTAAGTTCAACTGGGATTGGCAACATGCTGTCACTATGAAAAGTCAAATCTGGGCCTTCCATTCGGGCAAGTTCAGTGCACCAAGAGTCAAATCTCACACACAGCTCAGGGGACTCTTACCTAATGGGGTGATTCCATAAAACTCCGCTTCGTGCCTGAGGACACTGATGCTCACGCCCCTGTCAAGACACAACAAAGGATGTCAGCTCTTGAATACTGGTGTCTTGGATGATCCTTGAAACAGACAAAAAATACTAGGTTCTTCATATAAACAAAATCACAATGTTTTAAAACTTGCTTTTTTCTAATACTCTTAAGGATTTGAAAAAGTCAAACAAAAGCTGCGAGTAAACACAAACATTTTGTTAGTAAAAACCCATCCACACACAGCTGAACTGGATTTTTAGATGAAAATGGGATAGTACAAATAAACAAAAGAAGTATCTGATAAAACAAACAATAAGGTAGCAGATACTTCTTTTGCAGAATTGCTTTAACTTTGTATTGTCATTATTTCTCTACATCTCAACCTCCCTGGATATACTGTAAGCTCCCTGCAAGCCTTGAGTACTTTTGATCTATTTCTGCATACGTCACACAACACTGAGCACAGTACGAATAAGACAGCTATATCATAAATATTTGTGGAGCAAATTTTAAAACCTAGAAGGAAAAAAGGGAAGCCAGCCTTAGGATAACCTTACTGAAGACGGTTACGACTTGGAGATATGGCTGAGCAACAGGAAAACCAGGAGAAGCAGCTTCAGAGCTCATGGAGTGCATAATCCATCCTAGATTAATTGTAGCTATCCTTCTAAAATTACTTGCTAGCCTTAACAAACAAGGCTAACTGCACCTTCCATTTACTTTGATTTATAATATAGTTGTGACTTGTTTAACTGGCTATGACTAGTTTAACCTAAAAATGCTTAAAGCTCTCTAATGCCACAAAGCTCCATCTTAATAGTACAATCATCCTGGCCTTTACAAGGCAGTGCAGGGCACAAACAATATTCCAGTCCCCACAGGAGAACGGGCAAACAAACGAGGTAATTGTAACACAGGTGATACGGGTAACACAGGTGATACGGGCAACACAAGGTTTTCAAGCAAGGAACAGAATCAGAACATAAAGTTGTTGGCTGTTTTTTCACAATTGTTTATTATTGTTATTATTCCTTCCCATTTTCTTTTAGAAGATCCCACCCAGAGAATTTATGTTTACTAGAGCTGAATGCGAAGGAACTAATCTGTCAGAAAAGCAGTCAGGAAATAAGACAGTGACATGAATTCTGCCTTTGACGGGAGGTACACTTACAGATCAGTTACACGGATGGGAAGGAGAAAGGCACTGATGCATCTTTAACCAACCCGATGGGTCAAAAGCACTGCAGCCAAAAAGCAGAAGTTCATGCACTTCCTAGCCAAAGCCAGGCTGCTACCTTCTAGTGAATACGAGACAAGAATCATACAGCATTATACAGCAGCCACTAAAATACAGATTTCTAAAAGGTGTGTATCTAAGAAGGCCGAGAGATCCTTAGTGAACACTCATTCCAAAATATCAGAAATAAATAAAACGTCAGCAAAAACCTAAATTATAACAACGTGATCTAGTTAAACTAGTTCAAATGAGCATTCCTTACACACACACACTCACACACTGTACAATGAACTCTATGCACTAAGTGCAGTACTGGATTTATAACTGACCGTGAGCCCTGTGGGGGTTGAAAGCAATCAAGAAGGACTATAAAGCAGGCCTAAGAATAACCAATGCTGTGGTGCTGATGGCAGAGGTAACTGAGAATGGCTCTTTCAGCTGGAGACAACAAGGAACCCTGAAGGTATCAGCTTTAGGCGGAGACCAGGAAAGGCTGACAGTGTTCACTAAGGATAATTACAGGAGAAAGAAAAGGGAATGGGGGAGGGGAATCCTTACACCTACAAAACCGTAACATGCAAAATAATAACAATTAAAGAAAAATGAAGCAAAGACTGGAATATAGAAAAACAGGAGGAGGAAATCCCAAATCCTAAGCTATTAGCCCAATAACATTCAACAGGGGCTTGAAGGCAAAGAGTAACCTAATCAGGCCGTGTTTGTAAAAGGCGATTGGTGGCTACAACATGAAAGTGACCGGAAGGAACCAAGCATGAGAACAGCACTGGCATACCCCAAAGAGAGCCCCCCGGGACCCATAGCTAGGAGGGCTTAAGGCTGCTCTTAAGCCAAAACTATCCTGGTGACAAAAATGCTTTTTCTTCATAAAATATACCAGGAACCCAAAACTATCAATAAGAATTTAAAAAGGATTCGTTTCTTACCTCAGGTCTAGCTCTTTTGTCCGAAGGAAATTTAAAATGGGTGCAAATGCTGCTGGATCTCGGTCAATGAATATCTGTGGATGAAGACTGTGTCAGCCTGGTAGGCCCAGCTCCTCCCTGACCTCCTAGGCGGGATGACCTGACACGGCCCCTCCTGCAATCCACCCTCTCAGACTCTCACAATGCCATACAGGTGACACTGTGCATGTTTAATGTGGCAGTGTCCTTCCAAGCTCTGAGCAGCCACTGCTAAATGGATATCTTAATCGGAGAAAAACGTTATCAAGCATGGCAGTTTTTCTCAACTAATTCAAAGAAACATTTTTATCTAATACTCTGTAGAATGCAATGACTGCTTTTAAAACATGATAGACAATATTAGACTGTCAAATCAAAACTGGTGATGAGTGCTGACTCATAATTCAGTTCACAGGCAAATTGTGACAACAATACTTTATAATACAGAGTGGAATCAAGAAAACGAAACACTGCTTGTTGCTGTGAAAACTGGAAGAACATACTTCTGCTAACACTGTCACATTTATACTTTTACCACCTCAGCTTTGAGGACTGGGAAAAAATAACAGAATTCCATTAAAAATAAACATCAAATAAGACACACATGGGAGAAATAAAACGTTTAAAAATGTATACCAACAATATTTGTAATCAGTTTCAAAAGATCGAATCAGAAAACTGAACACTTTTTAAAAACATGTTGGTGGATCAGAATGGACTAGCTAACCAAAAAACCTATATTATGATCAACTAAGTATGTACATTCAAACACTTTTAATGGAGTCAATCAGAAGATGAACCACTCACATCGCACAGTGGAGATCTTATTCCTGAACAGTTTAAAATGATATCATGTGCATTTGTCTGCTTTTGCAGCCATGTTTCATCTGTAAATCTCACAACAAACACCACTGGTCACTTGCTCCCATTAAACTAGAAGCTTTTGGCTTCGGGGAACTTCTCACTATTAAGAGCAGTAATTTACTTTCCAAGGCTGTTATACATACTGCAACCATTGTCAAAATGCAGAACTCATTGTTGTTGTTGTTGTTGTTGTTTTGCGGTGAAACATCACAGTTCTTCTGTCACATATCACAGCTATGTAAGCTTTTCACCAAAATAAAACAACACTGCGGGGCCCGGCGCTGTGGTCTAGCGACTAAAGTCCTCGCCTTGAATGCTCTAATCCGGTCAGCTCCAGCTCCCTGCATAGGGCCTGGGAAAGAAGTTGAAGATGGCCTTAAGCCTTGGGGCCCTGCACCTGCATGGGAGACCTGGAAGAGCTGCTGGCTTTGGATTGGCACAGCACCAGCCAATAAGGTCACTTGGAGAGTGAACAATCTGCCCGAAGATCTTCCTCTGTCTCTCCTCCTCTCTCTATACATATGTGACTTTGCAATAAGAACAAATAAATCTTAAACAAAACAAACAAACAAACAAAACCACTGCGGGCCTGGTACGATGGCACGTTGGCTAAATCCTTGCCTTGCAAGTGCCAAGATCCCATGTGAATGCCAGTTCATGTTTCAACTGCTCCACTTCCCTTCCAGCTCCCTGCTTGCGGCCTGGGAAAGCAGTTGGAGGTGGCCCAAAGCCTTGGGATCCTGCAACCTTGTGGGAGAGCTTGAAGAAGCTCTCGGCTTTGGATCGGTTCAGCAATGGCCTTTGTGGCCACTTGGGGAGTGAAACAGGGGATGGGAGATCTTTCTCTCTGTCTCTCCTTCCCTCTGTAAATGTGCCTTTTCAATCAAAATAAGTAACATCTTAAAAAGAAGCTGCAAGGACTTTACTAATTTGTAACTTCTTACTATTCTAATGCAAAAATGCATTTATATATTTACTATAAGTTTTCAGCTACAGGTTATTAAAGAACCATTGCCTCCACTGCAAATGTAGGTCAGTCCTACCCTTGATCATAAACACAACTGCTCTGAGTAGCTCTCCCTACAATTCCCCCTCATAATTACAGCAACACTCTTATATGTAAGAAATGTCTGTTAAAAGAACAAACTCTCCTGTCTTCTTGATCACCATTATACTACACCTGAAGTATTGTTAACTGAGAAAATTTAGGAATATATGAACATATACTCACAGCACCAGTTTCATCTCGAAGTGTTGAAATTCTTCCACTCAGCAAACTGCAAATCATTAAAAACCTAGTTTAGTTTTGAGATTTGCACATGAATGTCCTAATTTTTCATCCAAATGTCAAAGCCTAAGTCTTTGTATTTAAAAAAAAAAATTCTAAGAGTTAACTTTTTTTTTACTCAGAAAATAGAAATTTTAACCTACAGGAGAAATCATTACAATTTTGGTAATCAGTCAAATGTACTACAATGTACTAAAGAATTATAGGGAAATACCTGGAAAAAAAAGAATCTGGAATCCACATAAGCGTTTGTCTTGACGTACTAAATCTGCAATTGAAAAGATCTGGTATTATAAATGAGAATATGCTTTGAGATCTCAGTATTTGTTCATTCCTATTAATATTCTGGCTCATGACTTACAAGCTGTTGCATTGGTATAGCTAAAATCAATACATTTACTCCATTTAATTTTTTTAAAATTTATTTTACCACTTTCAATTCAGCGGTCAGTTGTTTCTAGGCCCGAAACAAAATCCAATACCTCAAAACACAACTTCAGCAAGCCAGTGTGCTAGAGAGTCAATCATTCTTCCATCACACAAGTATCAATTTCTCAGGACATCATTCAGGATTATCTCCAGGTCCCACTCCTATCTCCCACACTCACCTGGCCTCGCCCCCTCTAAGACAGCACTTACCAATACCCCCCAAACAATTCATGCCCACCACCATCTGGGTTTCTTTACCCATGATGGCCTATCCTGTGTGTCCAACCAGTCTAGTCCTACCAGTCCTTCTTGATACCACTCAGATTTATTTTCCCTGAAACAACTTTGAAATATGCTCTCCTATATTTGTATCACCTATTGTGGAACTCATAGTAATTCCACTGTGAACTAGGCAATGAAGCAGCCAATTTCATTACATGTAATCTGCATTATCTGTAACTGTTACACCCATTAATTTAAAAAGTACTTGGCAACTATTGCCATTTCGAAATGTTTGGCAGCTTGATACCAATTCTAGGGCATATTTAACAAAATACATAGTAACCAGTGGGACAATAACCCAGTAAGTGAGGCCAACTGCCAAGACAGAAAATAAGGCATGTTTCTGTCAACACGTAAGGCATTACATGAAAATCATCTCACAGAGAACACAGCCGGGCACATCTCTACTATGCCCCATTCGCACTCCCTAGCTAGCACCACGTGCCACTTCTAAACATGCGTTACTGTTTCACACACACACACACACACACACACACACACACACACACACACGAGGCGAATCAGTAGTGCCACAAGTTGCTTCTGGGAAACAAAGGCGAACTTCAACCAGAATGGCTTAGGTCGTCCCCAGCTTGTACAGGCTAAGTTCTAGACGGCCATTCCACCTGCCCTCAGCTAAATCAGCATCCCGTAATTATCAGTGGAATACAAATCGCTTGCTACGTGCCCATTCAGCCCAACCTCAAGATTCACCCCACTTCCCATCTCTCTTCCAAGTGGCACATCAAACAGTAGTAAAAACTAGATTAACATGAGTAACAAATACCAACTTGGTCAAAGAAATGAAAGTAAGACCTCAGGAATCTAAAAATCGACTGCAAGATTCAGTTAAGGAGGCCATCAAATTAACTGCAAATAAGGACAGTTTATAACTTTCTCCCTTTCATATTTACTGTTTATTTTTCTAATAATTCAAAGTCGTGTTACACAGAAAATTACACAGATCTGTCTAAAATTACAATGTCATATTCAACTTTGAGATGCATTTAGTTATCGGAACTTTTTCCACCAAAACACTGGGTGCTCATCCTACCAATGTTTCTTTCCCAAACAAAAGGAAAAATAGTAAAAATACATCCTCAAACTAGTTCCAAAGTTTACTTCATGAGAGCTAGGGTATGTAACAACATATGCTAAGCATAACTCTCTGCAACATGAGTCTTTAAAATCTCATGTCCCTCGTGTGCCAAGGTCACACACAACATCATCACAGCAAAGAAAAAAAAATAATCTACTAAAAAAGTCAGCAATTCACTGCTACACTCCATGCTACTTGCCTCCCACTAAATTAATGTGGAAGCAATTTAATTAAAACTACTTATTACAGGGTATGTTGTGGTGCAGTGGGCTAAGCTGCTGCTCGTGAGACTAGCACCCATAAGTACCTGTTTGAGTCTCTGCTGCCCCACCTCTAAGTGTGCCTAGGAAGCCAGAGCAGATGGCCCACGTGCCTGAGCCACTGCCTCTCACATGGCACACCTGGAGAGGGTCAACAGCTCCCGGCATTAGTCACTGTAGCCAGTTAGGGAATGAAGCAGCAGATTGAAGATCGACTGACTGACCACTCCATGTAACTCTGCTTTTGAAATAAATAAATCTTTAGAAATTAATCTGTAATATTTATAATGATGTAGTATTAAAACCCTTCATTTAACATTTCATTTCAAATTCCAATAAAAATCCTGCAAATGTAACCATTGTCACTTTACACGATAGGAAACTAGGCATCAAGAAATACTTTGTTTGCACCTGTACAATGGCACAGCATGCTAATCTTCCACATGTAGCACCGGCATGTAGTATGAGTGCCAGGCCTAGTCCCAGCTGCTCCACTTTCAATCCAACTCCCTGCTTACGGCCTAGGACAGCAGCAAAAGAGGGCCAAAAGTCTTGGGCCCCTGCACACATGGGAGATCCAAAAAAATCTCTAGGGTCCCACCTTTGGGCCAGCCCCGCTCTGGTGGTTGCAGCATTCAGAGAAAAATCAGCCAGCAGATGGCATACCTCCATCTCCCTCTCTAATTGTGACTAAAAGGTTAAAGGTTGCTGATCTAGTGAGCTACAGCTTCACCAGGGACCTGAGAGTAACTGTTGACTCCAAAGCTTTGCTCCTACCCCCGCCCTCCCCCCCCGCCCGGGCAGTTCCTGGCCCTGGACCGTGCCTAGGAGCCCTAAAATTATACCCATCTAAATAGAATTTTGCTGGTTTCTTTGCTGCCACCATTTTCTATTTGCAAACAGCAAACAATTCTAAACGCATCCTCATCTTTCTAAAAGGCAGTATTAAATGAATCACAACACTGATGGTTTCTATAGTCTGTCCAGTTCCACATTTCTCCTGGAAACAGGGAAACCTTAGTTTTCTCTTGAGGGGAAAAAACAAAACAACTCAAGAGAGGCATGGTCCTCAGTGTTCCCAGTAAACGCTGCTCTGGGACTCGGGGTCTATCCGACGAGGCTGCAAGTCAACCCACAAGTGGGCTCCCAATTACAAAGCCCCACTTAAGGCAGAGCACACCAGACTTTTTCTCTCACGATGACATTTAGGAGATCATGTTCAGGTTGTACAACAAATGGAATGCCCCATAGACCTCTCCTAGCCCTAACACGCTGTAAGTCTATGAACGCAAATCTAGAAAATATCCTTAGAACACTTGGAGTGGGAGGTTTCTTACAGCCCATGTTATTCCTCTATAAACTTTTTTATCCTAATATTTTAAATTCCTTTTGCATTTCTATTATTTCAAGACATCACTGCCAATCACAGTCAAGATGATTTCCAACCCATATTAAGCTATCTATCGTCAATATACAGTAAATTATGGTATCAACTGATTTTAAAACTGCATTTAATTATTTGAGACTGGAGGAGCTCCCCTGTGCTACTTCACTGCCTGAATGCCCACAGCAGTCAGGAATGGCGTGGGATGAAGCTAGAAATCAGAACTCAATCCGTGGCTCTCACATGAGTGGCAGCGAGTAAGATTTGAGTCATCAACCGCTGCTTCCCAGAGGCCATGATGTCAAGAAGCTAGAATCAAAACGAGGAGCCGACACCCAAATACGGGCACCCTAAGCACTAAGCTAACACCTGCTCCAGCACCACTTAATTTTTACCATAGTACTATGTTGCCTTCCGAATGCCTGAAAAGAAACCCAACAATCAACGAGAAGCTGGCATTTCGAACAACACATCGCCACTGTCTGGTATACACTGAAATTCTACTTGTGCTAAGAATTCCATATTTTTTTTTTGTACCCGGAAGTTACATGTCATATTTTGCCATGATTTCAGGAGGAAAAAAAAAACCCACCTCTCACATTATGAAAGATGAATCATCTCCGTGAGCCTCGTCTCAATATACTGGCAACAATGTATTTTTTTCAAACCTTTAAAGGTTCTGCTTTAGAGGAGGAGGAGGAGAAAGAAAGACGAGACACTGCGATGCTACTGTGTGTTGTGTTGAATCCTCCAGCACACTCCCACGTCTAGGATTCCAACACAATTTAAAAAAAAAAATCGTTGCCATTTTACAGTCTAAAAAACAAAAGCTAAGCAGATGGAAGCTCTCTGTTTCTGCCTTTGAAAACAAAAAGACTATAAGTCTCCGTGTTGAAAATCACGCAGGCTCTAACCCTGCAGAAATACTTGCATGCCACATTCCAGAGCTGGTCACTGCTGATCTCCTTCGAGCCACCTAGTACTCATTCAAACAGCTGGCAAACGCCCTGCTCTAGGAGGAGTGACTCATACATCTTAAGCTATTCCACGCACAAAAAATAAGATTTCCACCCCCATCTCCCCACCCACCCCCCAAGGAGCTTACTAAAAGGCATTGAAAGGGAGTGGAAGGCAAAGAGAGGAGAGACAGAGAAAGCTCGGTCTGTTTACTCCAATGCGCCACGCCGTGCCAGCATCCCGAGCTTCCTGGAAACAGCTTCGCGCTGCAGTTTCTGGACACACGGCCCGGAAAGTTGCACACAGCGGTCAAACCCGTGCACCCAGAAAACGGCGTAACGCTGCACTGCAGACCCTCGGTGCTCACCGCCACAGGCCCCGGCACCTCGACCCCAAACGCACGGAAAGCAAAGGGAGGCAAATTCCTCTGCAAAGCCCAGGCCAGGCTTCTTCCACACACATTCCTCAGATACGCCCAAGAATTCGGCAGCCCGGGCCACGAAGGTGCCTGCCAGCCCCGTGCCCGGGCAAGCGGGAGGGGCAGAGGCTGGCTTGCCCAAAAGGCGGGCAGTAACTGGGCCCCACGCGCCCGGCGCTCGCTCACCCCAGGAGGCTCCCGGCCGGGACGGAATGCTTTACCGGCTCGGGATCCGGCCCGTCCGTCCGTCCGTCCGTCCTGCCAAGGAAAGCCCCGCGTCCTCCACCTGTTCCCGCAGCATCCCGCCCACTCACCTGGTCCCCCCCACGTTCAGCTGGACGATCTCGCCGCTGCCCGCCGCCGCCGCCGTGGCGAAGCTGCCGCAGTGCCCGCCCGCCATCTCGGGAGGCTCCGGGCGCGCTCGCCGCGTCCCCTCCCCGGCCGGGGCTGCCAGGCCCGGGGCGGGAACCCGCGGCGGCGGCGGCGGCTGCAGGGCCAGCGGGGCGGCCGGAGGCCGGGAGGTGTGCGGAGCCTCCCCCACCTTCCCGGCGGCCGCCTCTTCTCCCGGGCTCCTGCGGCGCGCGACCGCGGCCCGGCCTCCGCCTCCCGGGGCCTCCAGGCCGCCCGACCGGCCCGGACCTCTCCTCAGCCTCCAGGCCGCCCGACCAGCCCGGACCTCTCCTCAGCCTCCAGACCTCCACACGCGACGCGGCCGCCGCAGCCGCAGCCCGCCCGAGAGGAGGGGTCACCGCTCGGGACAAAATACCGCAGCGTTCACCCTTCGCCCGCGGCGGCCGCAGGAGGAGGAGGAGGAGGAGGAAGGAAAGGCCGGGGAGGAGCTTCCCACCCCGCGGGGCCGGCGCTGAGGGAGGGCCGGGGTGGGTGCTGCTGGCCCGCCGCCGCCTGCAGGGATTGCACGTCTTCCCTGCTCACCAAGCCCCAGCCCCTGTCCCCGAGACGCTGAGGACCCGTCGGCTTCAGGAGGTGGCCATCATGGCCTGAGCCCTGAGCATCTCCGTGGGCCACTTTGTCCATTTGCATCAGCACCTGAACGTCCCCCCCCCCACGCCCCCCGAGTTCACTCTGAGGCCGACATGCAGGTAATACAATACAGTGAGAATTTGGAGGATTTTTAAAACCTCAGAACCCTGACCTCAGAAACCCTATTCCCATGTCCTCTTAGCTGTCTTCTCTGCTCTCCCCAGCTGTTTAATATTGTTAAGCAGGGGAGGCTTACAAAAAGACAAACACACAAAAAAGCTTCAGCTGTGGAGTGTCCAGCAATGTATTTCTGGAACAGAGTAAGCATTCAAGGAATGTTAGCCACACTTTAGTATACATGATGAAGTATGCATTACACACCCATGTTGGCGCACGTAACCTCAGGGGTACTGCCTGATGCCAACCCGGTTAGTGAAGGCTAACAAAGCAAGCTCCTAACCTTCAGAGGACATTGGTTTATGGTACTAACTGGTTAGTATGAACCATTTAACTAAAATGCTAACAACTTTGTAATATTTTACCATAATAATTCAAACTGGTGACCTTTATAATGTTTTTATTTCCACTTTTATAATTACTTTTTTTTTAATCTCCACTGGCTAATATACCAGTAACATGTTGTACTTTATCCCGATTTGACCTGAAAAAGGGGAGGGGTAATTATGGATGTAAGTTGCACCTTATTTACCCCAGCTGATGGCAATAATGAACAATAATAATGGCTAAGTTGTAGTTACTGCGGCCTAATCGTTAACCAGGTGGTTTAGATACTTTCTTTTTTTTTTCTTCACTATTGTTATTGCTATTAAAAAAAAAAAAAGCTCAGAAGACTTGCTCAAAATTACCTAGCCAGCAACCAGCAAGTGACAGAGCAGGAATGCCTGGAGTGGAGTTCAGGACCACTGGGCCACACTTTGACATTCTACCCTGAGGATAAGGCACCCTTCAGTCTAGGGGAACAGCAATTTCAGGCTCTTTCTTGTTTTAGAATGTTAGCTCTCTTGGCTAATAAGACATGTGTTGCTATCACGAGCTGAAACTTTACTTGCAAACGTGCCAGCTAGAAGCAGGTGGCTTACATGCCATCTACCTTTCCCTGGGTCCACACCGAGATGAATCTGAAAAGAACACTGCACAGCAGCTTTTCGGTGCATTCAAGAAGCAGCTTGGAGTTAGGACAGGCCTCATGGAATCACGGAGTAGTAAGAAGACTTCTTTCCTGAAGTAAATCAATATGCCGCATTTATCTCATGGCTTTGTAAAAAATTAGCCATTACGGGACAGCCCATCAAAAGGAATGTCTTATATATTTGTATACCAAATGACCATAACATGTAGATCAATGGAGGAATATTGGAAGGGATTTCTTGTTCGTAACACTGAAAGTTCATGTACGACTTAATTGTTGAGTATAAATTGAGACACATTAACAAACGCAAAGACAAATAGCAGGGCATGAAAAAACATTTGTAAGATGTTAGACATCCGAATAAAAATAGACATCATTTGATTACATTTAGAACATTCTACAAACCGAATGGGAGAACTGTGAAAAATATGGAAAAAAAATGTCAACTGACACTGGAATATAACTAGCCTGTGATGTGTGCGTCTGATATGAGCACCCACCTATTCAAATCCCAGCTGCTTCCGCCCAGGTCTCTCTAATGGGTGGCAGGAACCCAAGTCCTTGCTCCATCACCTGCGTCCTCTAATGGTGCCCATGAGCAGAGAGCTGGAACACGGTGCCCATGGGCAGAGAGCTGGAACACGGTCCCCGTGGGCAGAGAGCTGGAGCACGGTCCCCGTGGGCAGAGAGCTGGAGCACGGTGCCCGTGGGCAGAGAGCTGGAGCACGGTGCCCGTGGGCAGAGAGCTGGAACACGCTCAGCCCACAGTGCTGGACATTGCTTGACTTGCAGCTGTATCATTCCAATGGCTGCTTTTTCCTGTGGGCTTCTTCTATTTCTATGTCAAATCTACATTTCTTCCCTCACCAATGTGCCAATGGATGTATGTCCCACCCCTCCTAAATCCAGGACATTCATTCTCAAGAGCAATAATTTAATGACAATTGTAAAAACACTATTTCTAGGGACCAGTATAATGGCTCAATTGGCAAATCTGCCACTTGCAAGTGCTGCCATTCCATACAAATGCTGGTTTGTTTCCTGGCTGCTCCACTTCCCATCCAGCTCCCTGCTTGCGGCCTGAGAAAGCAATGGAGGATGGCTCAAAACTTTGGGGCCCTGCACCCACCCACATGGGTGACCCAGAAGAGACTTTTGGCTTCAGAGTGGCTCAGCTCCAGCCATTGCAACCACTGGGGGGAGTGAACCAGCAGAGAGAAAAGAGCTTTCTGTCTCTCCTCTCTATAAATCTGCCTTTACATTAATCTTAAAAACATACACATACTATTTCCAAATAAGGCCAAATTAATAGGTTTCGGGGTCGTAATTTAAGCATTCCTTTAGGAGTTACCAATAGATTTCAGGTCTCAAAATTCTACACAAATCCACAATGCAGCTATATTTGCAATAGCCAAAGTTCAGAAATAATTCAGCTGCTCATCATCAGAGGGGTTTTAAAAGTACCATTCCTCATCCCCAAGTGCTAATGTAGTTTGACACCAAGGAGCAGTCCCCTCTCCTTCCTCCTGCAGATACAGGAGGACTGAAAAAAGGAACTGAAGTACTTGTCCCCACCCATTTTCCTTGATCCCTCAAACCTGCCCACCCTAATAAGAGGCCCACCTGGGCAAGTTTCCCTCTCAACAACGCAAACCATATTAAAAATTAAATTTAATAAATGGAATACCATTCTCTGCAAGGGAGCAATAAAAGTCATGCACCAGGGCAGGTGTTTGGCACACAGCTCGAGGACACTGGGAAAACCATATCCCATCTTGGAGGTCCCAGACTTGGATCTCACTGTGCTTCTGAACCCAGCTTGGTGTTAACATGCGCCTTAGGAGTCAGCAGTAGTGGCCGCAAGAATCACAATTACACTCTACAGGGCAGTGGTCATCAAAAAGTCTGGCACTTTACAAAAAGTTTTTAAAATTCTTTATCCCCCATTTCCTCAATGTATCCTTCAGTTAAGTCAGGTTGGCAAAGGATTTTGTTCCTTTGCAGGAAAAATATCACTAATATTCATTGTTCCTCTGTCTCTTCTTTTGCTCCTGGTCATTGTGCATCTGGGAGTATATCCAAAGGAAATGAGAGATGCATATCACAAAGGGATCTGTAATCCTATTTTACAGCAGCACAATCTACAATAGCAAAGCCATAGAAATAAACCAGATGCCTAGTGAAATGGATAAAGAAACTGTGGTGCATCTACTCTGTGGAATGCTACTCAGCCATTAAAAGAATGAAATTCTGCCATTTGCAATAAAATGGTCTCAACTAGAGACCATTGTGCTTAGCGAAATAAGCCAATTTCAAAGGGACAAATATCATGTCTTCTCTTTGCTATAAGACAACCTTCATGCAAAATACAAAAGAAATAGATGTATCAGTAAACATGTATGTACACAGACTCATAGAGAAACTGAATAATGAAGACTAGCATGCTGCAAAGTGAAGATACGTTGCATTATGCATCCCTACTCCTGAATAAAAGATGGACTCTCAATGAAACTTAAATATATCTTGATTTTCTACCGTTGTCTATAGCTACAATGTCATGATAGTCTTAAGTAGAAGAATGAACAACTCCTGAATGTTGCTGAAGGTTTATACTATTGTAATAATGTAGAGGAAGTCAGTGGGGGGAGGGCAAACGGGGAGATGGAAGGGGAAATCCCTAAGCCTATGAAAATGTATCATGAAAAAATAAAACAAAAATGAAATTAATAAAAGATGAAACACCACACTTTTTAGGTGTGTCCACTTTTTGTAATGGTTTTAGATTGTCCTGTGAGGACAGAATGGCCCAAGCCTTCCACTCTGTCAATCTCTGATGTATGACAGACGAACAAGAAACTGACAAAAGGCTATGGAACAGCTCTTGTCTGAATCTTCCGATGACACGCTCCCAGAAATTGTAGGTCACAGGCAGTAAACCAAATATAAGGACAATCATATAAAGCAAGAGTCAGACAAAATAAGCGTTCAAAGGTTTTGGAGCCACGAGTGTCATAGAAGTATATGGATCAAAGCAAGGGGAAAAGGAAAATGGATCTGAGAGTCTAAACAAGCAGAATTTGATTCTGAGGCCACTACCTAGCCAAATATTTGTTGTTTTGAATTTTCTGTTAGGAGCTAATTCCAAGTCATGAGTAACCTGGGACACACATACCTGTACATTACTGAAAGGTTCGCGTTACTCATCAAGCAACACTTGGTTGAGTGGAGAAGATAGAGCTTTCTCAAAGGTGCCACACTTCCAAAGTATGTAAATTACAGTGGAGTATAGTAATCTGAATTAATACAAGTGATCAAATATTGAAGCCCCAGGGATACTGTCTAGTGCAATGATGAACAGGGCTTTAAGAATAAATGAGGGGCCCGGCGCTGTGGTGCAGTGGTTAAGGTCCTCGCCTTGCACGCCCAGGATCCCATATGGGTGCCGGTTTTATCCCAGCAGCCCCGCTTCCCTTCCAGCTCCCTGCCTGTGGCCCGGGAAAGCAGTCGAGGACGGCCCAAAGCGTTGGGATCCTGCACCCGTGTGGGAGACCCGGAAGAGGCTCCTGGCTTCAGACTGGCATAGTATTGGCCGTTGTGCTCACTTGGGGAGTGAATCATTAGACGGAAGATCTTCCTCTCTGTCTCTCCTTTCTGTATATCCGCCTTT